GGTACACAGACCTCCCTCCATGTGTGTGGGTACACAGACCTCCCTCCATATGTGTGGGTACACAGACCTCCCTCCATATGTGTGGGTACACAGGCCTCCCTCCATGTGTGTGGGTACACAGGCCTCTCTCCATGTGTGTGTGGGTACACAGGCCTCCCTCCATGTGTGTGTGGGTACACAGGCCTCCCTCCATGTGTGTGTGGGTACACAGGCCTTAGTACAAGTGTGGAAGTCAGAAGACAATTTTTGGGAGTTCCGAGGACTGGACTCAGGTCATGAACCTGGTGACAAGCACTTTCGTGTTCTGAACCACTCACCATCCCTCAATTTGATTCTTAATTCAGCACTTTAATCAAGTACCAATAAACTTTTCTAAAAGCTACATTTATTTTGTAACCAAAAATATTTAAGATTATTTTGTTTGTGTGTTATCTGCATGTGTGTTCATCTTCCCTGGCCAAGGCCCTGGGCTCAATCCCCAGCACCACAACCAAGGATGGGTGTAGCTCAGAGAGGGCTCACCCTGGCCAAGGCCCTGGGTTCTATTCCCAGCACTGAAAGGCAAAAATAAAATAAAAATCAAGCCTTTTTTTTTTTTTTCACAAAATTCCAATCACTTCAAAGCGGGTCAGAAGAAGGCAAGCCCTGCCGGGCAGACTCTAATGGCAGCCCAACGAGGAAAAGTGAGAGGGGCAGGTGGGCATCTCCCCTCGGCTACACACTTCCTCAGATCACCTGTGTGATCTACTATCCCCAAAGCTCTTCCTAACTCTTAAGAGAACGAGTTCAAAATGTACAAAAATACAATTCTTTCTGTCTTAAAATTCACCTGCTGTCACAGCAAGTTCCCTAATGATAGAAAAAAAAATGTCTATTTACCATCTTGATCTCTGCTGTTACCTAGTTTTTACATTTTTGTTTATTTATTTTTATGTTGTAGGTGTTTTGCCTGCATGTATGTCTATGCACCACGTACGTAGTGCCCAAAGAGGGTGTCAGAGCTCCTGGAGCTGGAGTTACAGATGTTTGTGGACCATGTGTGCACGGGGAACAAAGTGGAGCCAGGTCCTCAACAAGAACCACAAGTATTCTTAACTGCTGAGCCATCTCTCCAGCCTCCCAGGGTTTGTTTGTGTAACATTTATTCATTTTGTGTGGAGAGGGGATATTACACACCTCAACATGTGTGTGGAAGTCAAGAACAACTCCCAGGATTTGGTCCACCATGGGGGCCCTGGGAATCAACTCAGGTCAGTCAGCTTGTCCAGCAAGTTGAGTCTCTCATTGGCCCCCACTTCCTAGGTTATAACTTTTACACCAGCCATCATGTGTATTAGTAATTGGTTGGTACATGTACTTACCACATAAGCTCCAAGGAGGACAAGGTCTGCCATGTGACATGAAATCTGGTACCCATGTCTCCTATAAGAAAAAAAAATGAGTGACAAGTCAAGCCTGGTGGCACACATCTGAACCCCAATAAGAACAAGGCTGAGACAGGAGCATTACAAGTTTGGGGCTAGCCTAGGCTACACAGTGAGATTTTTTTTTTTTAAGTGACATCTTTGAGAAGGTAAGCTCAGGACCATTCTTAGTATGTTGTTAACTTGGGACTTCCACCCAGGTCTGAATGAACCTGTGTTTCATTTTCTGGAAACTGACAAATTAGCTAAATTATTTTGAAGTGTACAAATCCCTGTCAAAAATGAATATGCTTTGGTCATTGCTAGTGTTAGCCTTTGTGTGTTCAGGACCAAATGACTTAATGACTTCAGGTTTATCTTCATATTGGTCAATGGAATTAATTTCAATATTGTGAGCAAGCTATGTCATAAACATAAACATCTTTGTATCTTTCCACAATTCTAGAACTTATTAAATAGCAATAAATCCATAAGCTATGTCCATTTTATTAGCTTCAAGGAACCAAGTAGTCTAAATTTCATTCGGAACATGACCACTGAACAATCGTTTTCTTTAATCCCATCCCAATCTTAATGACTAATATTACTAACTCTCAGATTACACATTTCATGCCACACAAGATTATATAGATTCTAGAACTACTAAGAAGAAGCAATGACCATCACAGGTTTCAGAGAGGCCCTGTTACAGGCAAAAGCAGAGAGCTGACATAGATCTAGTGTCACTACTAATGGCTAGGTATCAAGAAATCATCAAAGGGCTATTCAGGACACTAGGCTGCCTAGGTGCAGAGCTGGTTAAGGTACAGTGGATCTAGACAATACACAGTTCTGGTGAGCAAGTCAGGGAGGGTGATGTGCCGATCTGGAGCCCCAGAAACAGGATCCAGTGACGAATACAGAATGACCTAATGACAGGGCCATAAACGCCAGGCCAAGGTCCGCCTGCTTTTGAGCTAGGGTTTTACCATGGGGCCTTGCTGGCTTCAAACCTGCCATTCCCCCTCACACTCCTAAGTGCTGGGATTAGGTGTCACCACACCCAGCAACATCTCCTGTTATATGACTCAGGTGAGGAAGTTACATCATCCTTTGGTCTGGTGTGTTTGCTAAGCCCATGGGCCTGCTTTCTGATATGTTTTTGATATGCCCATGTGTTCTGATTTAATTTGATGGTGCTTTTTTTTCTTTGTAAATAAGTCCATGCCTTGTGGTTTGTGCTGCACAGATGGGGGATGTTCTTTGTGATAAACTCTGTGTTCAAGATCTGTTGGTTGTCTGCTCACCCAGGTAAGTTACCCTGCTTAACAAGTGCTCTTGAAGATGGAACAGTGTTAATGTATAAAATGGTAGCGCTCCAGGCAAGGCATAGCCTCAAGGCTACGTTTCTTTACCAAAGTGCAGTAACGCAGAGTAGGGCAAGCTTTCTCTACAGTTGGGTCGTTTACCATCCTTGATTCCTACTCAGCAAAACTGTGTTTAGGACGTCCATACAAAAAGCGTGTCTTCAAGGACAGAAAGCTGCCACATAGTCAAGGTATGGAAGATTTTATTTTTAAGATTCACTTTATTCGTATGAACGCTTTGCCTGCATGTATGTACGTGCATTGTATATACATGTCTGATGACTGTAGAGGTCAAAAGAGGGTGTTAGAGCCACTGGAACTGTATTTATGGATAGTTGTGAACCACCAGGTGGGTGCTGGGAACTGAACCTGGTCCTCTGCAAGAGTAACAAGTATTTTGTTTTTCGAGACAGGGTTTTGTGGTGGTAATATTGTGCACCCTAATAAATTTATCTGGGGTCAGAGAACAAACAGCCACTAGATACAAAGGCTAGAAAATGGTGGCACTTACACCTTTAATCCTAGCATTCCAGAGGTAGAAATCCCTCTGGATCTCTGTGAGTTCAAGGCCACATTGGAAACAGCCAGGCATGGTGACACACGCCTTTAACCCCAAGAAGTGAGTCTTTAATCCCAGGGAGTGATGGCAAAAACAGAAAGATATATAAGGGTAGAGACCAGAAACTAGAAGCATTTGGCTGGTTAAGCTTTCAGGCTTTTGAGCAGCAGTTCAGCTGAGATTCATTCTGGATGAGGACTCAAGCTTCCAGTCTGAGGAAACAGGACCAGCTGAGGAAATGGCGAGGTGAGGTAGCTGTGGCTTGTTCTGTCTCTCTGATCTTCCAGTGTACACCCCAATACCTGGCTCAGGTTTGTTTTATTAATAAGAACTTTTAAGATTCCTGCTACAGGGTTTCTCTGTGTAGCCCCGACTGTCCTAGAACTCACTCTGTAGACCAGGCTGGCCTCTGCCTCCCGAGTGCTGGGATTAAAGACACGGACCACCATGGCCAGGCATAACAAGTGTTCTTAACCACTGACCAAGGAATGGAGTTTTTAATCATACATAGCATGAAATGTTTCCTACATAAGACTTAACTCAAAAAATTTTTAACCTAAGTTAGATTCCCGGGACCCATGGTCAAAGGAGAGAACAGACTCCTTCAAGTTGTCTGGCGACCCTCACACATCTGTCATAGCATATGTGCCCTTCCCCGCAATAAGATGTAATAAAAATTGTAAATATTCAGCCAAGTTTGTTGTGTAGTTATTGGAGGGTGGCTCCTAAGATTAAGGAAGCTATCGAAACGTCAACCTTCAGGAAACTCAAGAAACTTATTGAGGGCCCAACAAGATGGTTCGTTGGTAAGGGCCACCAAATCCGACAATCGGAGTTGTGGCCAGGATCCATACAGTAAGAAGAGATGACTGGTGAAGGCTGTCCACTGACCTCGGCAAATGCTCCAATTAATAAATATAATAAAATCAGTTCAAAAATAAATGAAACACTGAGGTATGGGAAGCTCAGGAAGTTACAAGATTCACCAGGTTTCTCGCCCCAGTTTAAACAATCAGCAATCGAAGGGGAGTGGGGCCGGCGCAGCTAGGCGCCTCAAGCCAGGAGGGAGCTCCAGGGAGGCAGCTGTCCCGAGCCACGAGGGGATGGTCTGGGGCTGGTGCCCTATCGGGGGGGACAGACGTTTGTTCCTCTCCCAGAAGTCACTAAACGCTGAGCACCTACCAGTAGCCTACGTCTCTCAGCAGGCCGCCATGTTCTGTTACGCTAACGTGGGCACAGACGGTCCCACAGTCTGGCTGGCTGTGTCTGCCAGCCCTTCCACAGACATGCCCGCCCCGGGGTGAGGTCACAGCCCTCGGACCTCCACCAACCCCAGGGAGGGCTCCAAAGAGGACCCGACAGCGCATGCTCCAGCTCGGGAGCCCCAGCCGCCGGCCGCTCGGCTCGCCTTGGCCGGGCGGGCCTGCGCGTGCGCGGCGTGCCCGGGGCTCGGCGAGCAAGTTGTGAGCAATGGGAGGCAACTGGGGCGCGGAGCCAGCGGCCGCCCGGCGGCCCGGGGCCAACCCGGCCGCCCAAGCCTCACGTCCGACACGAAGAGCGTGGACACCGCGGGCCGAGGAGCCCCGGCGCCCAGCCAATCGACGCCTGGCTCCGGGTGGCCACGCCCACCGCGCCCTGGCACGTAAAGTGGAGTCCGCGGGGCCCGGCGCGCCGGCGGCTGGCTTCTGATTGGCTGGGGCGAGCGGTGGCCCGACCCGAGGAAGCCGGTGTTCTCGCTCGCACTCGAGGGTAGCGGCCAGGAGCCGGCAGGACTGGAAGGGGCGCAGTGTCTGTGTGAGTGAGCCGGTGTGAGCCGGGCCGGGGCGGGAGGGCGAAGAGCGGAGGGTCCTCGGGAGGATCGGAGGCCGGGGGCTGCCAGCCGTGGGACGCGGGAGGGTCCCTCTCGGCCAGGGAATGTGGGGCCCGAGGAACAAGCCCGACGCTTCCGGAGCGGATCGTGGCCGAGGGAACGGAACTCTGAGAAGACAACGATGAGAGACGGGGACTGGGCTGTTGACAACTTCGGGGACCCAGGGAGCAGCGGGCGCGGAGGGAGGAGCGCGATCGAACCGGCAGGTCAAGGTCACAAGCAGGGTGGGAGATGAGGGGAGGGCCCAGCGCTCGGGCACCTCTGCCTGGCCTGCCCCTGCACCACCCGGGGTTTGCGCCGACCTTACAGACCCTGTGTTACTCGATGGAGGAGGAAGGCTGTGGCGGAATGCGAATGCCCCTGACAAGGATCGTGGCTTAGAGATCACAAAAGCACCGCTAGAGTTCAGATTTGCCAGCAGCCCGGGAGGCTCAGCGCTGTTAACCTCTTTCCTCGTGTATTCTTGGGGTAGAGAGCAGCCCTGTCTTTGAGGGTGTGATCCCCACCCAGGGAATCTGCTTCCAGAAGTACCGAGGCACTCTGCAGCTTGACAGTTTGGGGTGTAGATTCTGACAGGTTCAAGTGGTTCTTGGTGCTCATGGAGTGTGCTAGGGGGATCCTCTTTTCTTCTGTACACCAGTGTTGACTGAAAGGGCTTCCTAAAACATAAATCCTGCCCCTGGTCATTTGAATCAGTCTCCAGGCAGGCGTCCTGGCAGCCATTTTGCACAAGCTGACGGGTAACTGATGCAAAATCAGGATTTGAAACCATTTGTTTTAGATAATATTTCTTGGGATCAAAGGGACAGGCTGGGAAGAGTCTTTGGATGTTACATCACCTGATGCTCAGCTATTTTCTCATTTTACCTCTTCAGGGCTGCTGTGCATTTGGAAAAGGCTGTCAGTAGTCATTATCTGACCTTACAGAATAATATGTGTTCGGCAAACTAAATTTGAATATCTGGTTATTGGTGACTGACTTAAAAATAAAAGTATGTTTTACTTTTGACAGATATAGGTCAGTCCCTGGGTGAGTGAGATAATAAAAAAAAACCTAGTAGGAAAAAAATCTTTTCAAATCAAAATTGGAATTGTTAGATTATTTAAGTCACTGAAGAAAGAGTCCATTTAACTTTAGATATGACTTACACAGTTTTTGCAATTCAGAGACAGTATTGGGGGATTCTGTTAGGAATGGATTTTTATATTTTCAGTTCAAATTTGCACCTGTAACATGAAAGTGTTGGTTTAGTAAAAAAATATATTGTCAACCTAAAGGAACTGTGGACTGTGTGTGGGGAGAGCCAGATTCTTTCCAGAGATGTATTCCTAGTGTAGAACAATCCACATGACCCTTCAGACCCTTTTTTTCCACCTGTAAAATAAGGATATTGATTGTCATCTGATTCATTTCTTACCCAGGGTATGATTTGAACTTATTGACCTTGAAACTTTAGAAGTATATCCTTTCCTTTCATTTAAATGGCAGTATTTCATGAATACTAGGTGACAAAGGTAATTATCAAAATTACATATTCAGATAGCATTCTCTATTTATACTGATTACATTAGAGTTACATCATTTTTAAGATGATACAAAGGTCTAATTTGAATTTACAGTTCTGGCCTGTGTTGGACTGTAAGTGCTCCTGTTTCATCTGATTGTTTCCTAAAATGTGCACATGAGTATTCCTGAATCAAAAACAGATTGTCATTAGTTGTTTCTTCTTCTTTCTTTTCTTTTTTTTAGCTAAGGGCTTGCTGTGTAGCCCAGGCTAGCTTCAAACTTAAGATATCCTACCTCCCGTAGTCTGAGATTACAGCAAGTGCCACCACACCCAACTCCAGTACTTCATCTTCTCTTTGTAGCCCCTCGAAACACATGTATCTTTGGTGCAAATGTGTGATAATGCACTGGATCAGATGTCTCTGTCAGCTAGGCCATGTAATTATAGTTCCATCAACACGGCTTTCTTTGAGCTCTGGACTTACTTCAGCTTCCTGCCAGGATCTGTCCAATCATGCCTGCTAGATGTCTTTTGTCAATTTGATTTCATTATTTTTGTTGTTGTCTTGAGACAGGGTGTTGCTATGTAGCCTAAGCTAGCTTTAATTCATGATTCTCCTCCCTCTAAGTGCTGAGATTATAGGCATGCATCACCACTCTGGCTATCACTGGTCCCCTAAAACAAATAATGGCCACTTGGTGTGCCCCAGTTCTAACTGCAGAGGCAACATTCTGAAAGTGAGTCAAGTGCCCTACCCATACTAGCTTGAGAATCTCTATCACAGGTGATGAAGGGAAAGGGCCTGTGTCTTCTGTTTTTTATATACAGTAAAGAGAGCCTTTTGCTCCATGAAGAACCCACTGGACAATTACACTCATCCACATAGGAAGTGGGGAGAAGATACCCACTGTGATTTGTTTCCTTATTTATGGTTGGTTATTCGGTTGACAGTGCTGGGGATCTCACCCTTGACTTCATTCATGCCAAGCGATTGCTCATCACTGGGCTGTATCCCCAGCACAAACTGCTTCTAGAGATAACTAACATGATGAGTTCAGGAGGCGTAAAGGCAAAGGGAGGTTTGTTTTCTTTTGTATTTTTGAGATAGGGTCTCTCTACTGTGTAGCTCTGGCTGTCCTGGAACACAAAGAGATCCACCTGCCTCCGCCTCTTGAGTGTTGGGATTAAAGGCATACGCCACCACACCCAGCCACAAAGGGAGGTTTTTAAAGTAGGTTGTAATCTGGTAACTTTGTCACTTGGAGTTTCAAGGAATCAAGACCTAATCAGGACATCTTTTTTTTTTTCATAGATGTGATGTAAGAACATTAAAGGGAAATCAACACTTAGGTATATGCAGCTTGATGTTTTCATACTGCAGGATTAAACGCTTTGAAAGTATATAGTTGTTACTTTTACCATTTATGAATAAATTACCTGAGACTAATTATAATTGTTGAGCATAACTGAATTTATTTTGTACTTTTTGTACATTTATTTTGTACATTTTGTACTTTATTTACTATGTACAGGGCTTTGTACCAGGCCATGGGGATATATGAAGCAGGGCAGGGATGCACCCTGGCTTCAAGGAATCAAACACGTGGTTGTAAGTGTTCTACTGAGTGCAGGGGTCATATCCAAAGTGCTCATAAACAAACCGAAGAAGACTTTCCAGAGGGCCAATCAGATGCAACCCTGCGAAGCCAGGGTTGGCTGGGGAAACATTGTGAAGTAGACGGACAAGGCACGGGAAAGTGACAGAGCACTCAGCTCTGCAGATGCTCGGAAGAACACAGAACAGAAAGACAGTTGCGGGAGTAGAGTTGGAGAGCAGGCTGGAAGGATTTGTGATGAGCAGTCCTGTGACTGAGGAACGTACAGATGGTCTGCAGGGAGCTAATATACAGGCCTGGATGCAGTGTGTCACCCTTCACAGAGCCCATTCATGCAGTTCTTGAGGTCTTAGGTGTTTATGAAATCTCTCAAATCTCTTCTAGCTGAGATATTTTCCTGTAGTTCAGTATGGATTATGTTACTGGCAATTAAGTACATTCTGTCCTTTCCGCTTTAAAAAAATAATCTGCTTTTTTTGAACCATCACTTATTTCAGTGTTTGTTTTTTGATTTCTGTGTATTGTTTTTTCTTTGAGTCAGGATACCCTCTATGGCCTATTTGGAGATTTTTGTTTATTTGTTTTGCTTTCTTTGAGGTGTAGGGGGAGGTGTCATCTCTTTGTAGCCCAGGCTGGCCTGGAACTCAAGATCCTTCTCCTTTAGACTCTGTTGGTCATCTGTGTGCCACCACACCTAGTCAGTATTTGTTTTATATTTGCAAGTGTAACTAGCGTCCTGAACCTTGAGCTTACTGAACCTTGTATATACAAAAGCTTAGTAAGATTTATTGCGTTAGGAAGTAATGGAGGGCAAAAAAAAAGAAAAAGAAAAGAAAAGATTTAGCTCTATTCCGAATGTTCTAGCTAGCCAGTTTTCTTCTCGATTGGAGGATAGCATTGACTCTTTAGGGGATGTAGGGCTTGGAGAGATGAGCTCACTTTTCAGAACAGACATTCCCGTATTAGAGTTGGATTTTCTTTGAGGCCTTTGTTGCCACTTAACCCCCAGGAATAGCAGTCTGCTGCCCTTTCTTACGGATGGGAACACACTGCACACGAAGGGTCCGTGTGTAGTCATGGGCAGCAGTGGGAACCAGTGGGAGGTCTGGGTACCCTCTGCCGTGTTTGCCTCCTTTATTGAATCTGTGGTCAGGATTACAGGCAGTTCAGAATTGTTCATTAAAGAAATACACAGTAAAGATGAAATGGATTTGTTTGTCCGTCTGCATTTCCTGTGTGAGATGATTGTAGGGAGGGCTGTGCTCCCTGTGGTGGTGGGATGGATTGTTTTTGTCCTGCCCCTTTATTCACACAACTGTGAAGCTCATATTGGCCGTGTGAGTGCCACTGAAAGGAATGTTATACAAAGACGATAGTGTTAAAGAGGAAGCCTTGGGAGCATTGGGAAGGTATGTAAAAAAGGCAGATCAGAAGCCTAGGAGATGTCTGTTAAGAAAACCTGAAAGAGTTGTTTTGTGTTGTAATGATGTGAACAAAAATAACCTCAGATATGAGAGAGAGAGAGAGAGAGAGAGAGAGAGAGAGAGAGAGAGAGAGAGAGAGAGAGAGAGAAAGAGAGAAGTGAGCATGGTGGCGCATGCCTTTAATCCCAGTACTCAGGAGGCAGAGGCAGACGGATCTCTGAGTTCGAGGACAGCCTGGTCTATATAGTGAGTTCCAGGACAGCCAGGGCTTTGTAGAGAGACCCTGTCTCAAAACAAAACAAAACAAACAAAAAGCCCCAAAAGCTATGCAATTGACCATGAAAGCATATCTATAGGGAGCTATTTGTAGCAGCATTTGTTAAAATTACTTTTTGTCTCAAAGGGGAGTAAATAATAAACTAGTTAGAAATTTTGACTATTACTGCAATCTTTTCCCAAAAGGCAATAACCATTAATTAGTGTAACAGACTGGAAACTATTCAAAGGTGAAAACTAAAGCCAGGTAGCATGTTGGAGCTAGCAAGTCAGCAGTTGAGAGCATTAAAAAAACATACTAAAAGTGCTTAGTAGGGGCCAGTGGCTCAGTGGTGAGGACCAGAGCTCAGTTCCCAGTACCCGTGTTGAGTGGCTCACAGAGACCCAGCACCTTCTGGCTACCTCTGGTACCTGCAAGCAGATACACATTACTCACACAGACACACACCTACACATAATTTTTAAAAAGAGTATTGCTGTTTTTAGAATACGTTAAAGAAAAAATTGTTATATGGGAGAAAAAGCGAAATGATGGGATAATAAATGTATACAATTCTCTTTAATTGTGGAAGTTTATCTAAAATTTTTTGTTCAAGTTCACAGCAGATACCATGGAAACTAGGCATAATAGTTCTAGATAATAATACTCTAGATGCTTTTAATTACAGAACCTCAAAAATCTCTTTCAGGAAGACTCTTCAGGAAATCACAATGTCAACCAACACAGACCTTTCTCTTTCTTCATACGATGAAGGTCAGGGATCTAAGTTTGTTCGGAAAGCTAAGGAGACACCGTTTGTCCCCATTGGTAAGTGGCCAACATTCTGATCAGTCTGCTGTGAACTTAAAACAATGGAAGTATGGTAATTTGTATATTGAGTAGATCCTGAAATACCTTTTTCCTTATTTCGTTGAAGTATGATAAGGTCAGCATCATAAAAGCTCATCCCGAAAGCTCTGAGTTCAGATTTGTTTGACTGGCTGTTATCTCAGTGACTCGTGCTGTGTGGGATCTCAGGACCACCTCTGACTCTGAGATTTGTCAGAGCTCAAAACAAAAACGCTGTAATCACGTTAAGGTTTATAGCACTGAAAGGATAGAAGTGAAAGTCAACCAGGACATCTGTGAAGAACCAGGATAGCCAAGCCTAAGCTTACGGGCCTCTCTTCATAGAGGACACTGTGTGGGAGCATGGGCAAAGAGAGGCTGCCAAACTCTGGCATTTAAGTTGTATTGAGGTCAGTCACAGGGGCATGCAGTGTCCATGAAGGCCTTACAGCCCATGAAACACCAATATGATCACCAGTGGAAATTCCAAAATCAGTAAATTGGAATAATTTATTCATTTAAAGCAGATACAAATTATATTAAAATTAAAACACTAGAAACATTCCCTTTAAATGGAATGGGTCAGGGATCCATGTGAACTCTGATGTTGTTGCCTGGAGATCCTGACCCTTTGCATAGGGCAGGGAAGGAGCTGTGTACATACTTCAGGAAGAAACCCTGTTGTTCTGTGGGTGATATAATTATCTGCATAGGAATACAAGAAAATCAAATGAGAAACAGCTAGACCAACTAGAGAAAAGATTACTGTCCTAGATACATGTCTGTTGCTGTGATAAACTCCATCACCAAGAGCATCAAAAGGATTTGTGTTAAACTTCCAGATGGCAGTCCATCATTGAGGGAAGTCAGGGCAGGAACCTGAAGCAGAAACTATGGAGGGATACTGCTTGCTGGCTCACTCTCAGGCTGTGTTCAGCCAGCTACTTATCTAGCCCAGGATCACCTGCCCAGGAAGGAGTGACACACCCACAGCAGACAGGGCCCTTCCCCTGTCAGTCAGAACAGTCTCAGGCGTGACCACAGGTCAGTCTGATCTGGGCAGTCCCTCAATTCAGACTCCTTCATGTGACTCTAGAGTAGAGGTTCTCAACTTACGGATCTCGACCACTTTGGGGGTCAGGCAGCCCTTTCACAGGGGTCGCCCAAGGCCATCAGAAAACACAGACTTTACGTTACAGTTCATAACAGTAGCAAAGTTACAGTTAGGAAATAGCCACAGAAATAATTTTATGGTTAGGAGTCACCATAACATGAGGAACTGTATTAAAGTGTCACAGCATTAGGAAGGTTGAGAAACTCTGTTCTAGAGTGTCACATTCGTGTGAAAGCCAAGTAGGACAGTTACTTCGTTGGTACATCAGAAGACTTTTAGGGGAAAGTCTCGGAATGTCTGAAGACCCGGAGGAAGTAAAACACAGAGTTATCTGTAAGGACACCAGGTGTGCGCCTGCAGATGGATGGATAGGTGTCACACCCAGAATTTCCACTCTCAGTCCTCCTGTGATTATTTCTGGTTGGGTCTGACAAGTTATTTACTCTTGTTTGTTTTTTCCTTTTCAGGGCTGATACAGTTATTTCCTAACTTCTTTCTGTTTTAACATCCGAGCCCAGTTACCAGCTTAACTGCTTCAGTGTGTGTGTGTTGCCACTTTATATTGATTGCCGAGTTTCAGTTTTAGGTTATGCAGTCTGGAAATTAGCCTTTTTGAAATTCAGTTTTCTTTGTGGCCTAATGTGTGATTATATTTTGTCAGAACTTCCTAGACTTTTGAGAGAATGTGTGATCTATTTTAAATTAAAATTTCATTTTTTATTATTGTATGTGTGTGTATATGTGCATGAGCCACAGTGCTCAAGTGTAGGTCAGAGAACACTTTCAGGAGTCTGTTCTCTTCCCACCCCATTGAGGCAGCTGTCTCGTATTTTCTCTGTACTACGTACTGCAGGCTAGCTGGCCCATAGCCTCCTGTGTGATCTCCTGCTCCACCTCCCATCTGTCCATAGGAGTGCTACTGTAATTACAGGGATTGCTGTTGGCATCAGGCTTGTCAGCAAGTGCTGAGACATCTCACTACCCTTGACAGTTCTTAAATCTGTCTTCTTATTCCACAAACCCAGTTTTTCAGAAGGAATCCTTAGCCAGGCATTGTGGCTCAGAAACCAGCACTTGGAATGTAGGGACAGGAGGATCCGGTTCAAGGTCATCTTCTGTTCATAGCAAATTTGAGGCCAGCCCCCAGGTCGCTACATGCGACCCTGCACATACACACAAAAAAAAGCCCCAGTGCTTGATAGGCAGAGATAGGTGGAATTCAAGGCCAGCCAGGGCTACACAGTGAGATGCTGTTTCAAAAAAACAAAAGACCCAAGAAAAGGATCCTATCTAAATTTGCTGCTGTTTGCTATGAATTCTAGATTTGGACTTGTGAAGCATAAAAGATGGAAAACTTTGTGTGTTTTCACACAATTAATGAGCTGATAAAAGTATCCTTACAGAAATAGCAGAAAGTACACTGATTAATGGTGAAATTGTCCCTCTCCCGCACATCTAACATGATTGTGACTGTGTTTTGCAGGAATGGCTGGGTTTGCAGCAATTGTTGCATATGGCTTATACAAACTGAAGAACAGGGGAAATACGAAGATGTCCATTCACTTGATCCACATGCGTGTGGCAGCCCAGGGCTTCGTTGTTGGAGCCATGACGCTTGGTAGGTTCCGGCAGGACCTGATCAGCTATGTGCTTCTCCTTGACTCGCGTTCTTGTGAAAGAATAATCCGTTCATTAGAACAGTGACGCAGCTTCCCTACTACGATAGACAAACCTTATTAGAACTTCATTGCCATCTGAATGTAGGTTGGTAAGAATGTGATTTTTGTATTGAGTTTGGGGAAAGCAGGAAAGATTCTAAAGTGTACATGCTTTTACTGGCATCACAGCTGACTAACTTTATCTGCTATTATATAGTGGGTGTTTTAGAAATTCCCGGGCAAATACTGGCTGTTCATTAAAACACTGACATAGTGAGCAGCTCACCCCAGCCGTACCCAGCTTGGAAATTAAAGAGTTTTAGGATTGAACGTGAGGAGGCTGGAGTGTGTGCCTCTGGTGTCCAGCTCTCCTGGCAGACTGTTTTGTGTTTTCTAAATGCTGAGAGAGATATTTTAATGTTTCTCTTCTTTTTCTTCAGGTATGGGCTACTCCATGTATAAGGAATTCTGGGCCAAGCCGAAGCCTTAGAAGATGAGCTGCCGCCTTGGTCTGGGAACTGCTTGCTTTATTTAGACGTCTCATATTGAGGTTACATGTTTGTGTCTACAATAAATAACATGGGTTTAGACAATAACTCAGTATTGAACATTACTTTCTTGCCAGCTTGATTTACCTTTTGACCGTATTGTTAATGACTAGTTCACTAACTAGGTCACTTGGGGGCGAGTCAAGTTAACACAAAAGAAATCTGTCACCTGAATGTATAGTTGGTAACAGCGTTCTCCCTGCACCCTTGTGATGAAAATTTTGAGGACAGTGGACAGTGCAGACACACACTGTGCTTCAGAGCAGGCCTTGCTTTGGAATGTGTTGGGGAGGAATCATGTTTGCCTCAGTTCATTTAACCTGTAGGCTGGCTTTAGAACTCAAGGTTTTTTTTTTTTTTTTTTTTTTTTTTTTTTTTTTTTTTTTAAATAGTTTATTCATTTGTATTTTATGTACATTGGTGTTTTGCCTGCATATATGTTTGTGGGAGCATCCCCTGGAACAGGAGTTATAGTTATGAGCTGCCATATGGGTGCTGGGAACTGAACCTGGATCCTCAGGAAGAACAGCCAGTGCTCTTAACCACTGAGCCATCTCTCCAGCCCCATGAACTCAAGGTTTTAAGGTTTGTTGGCTTCTGAAAACACATTCCAAAGAGTGCATGAAAAATAACTAACTTATAAAGCCCCCTACAACCGACTGAGGGAGAGGGGAGGGAGTGTGGTATGTGTGTGTTTGTGTGTGTGTGTGTGTGTGTGTGTGTGTGTGTACAACAGCTGGTAAAGCTGATGAGCTGCAGAGAAGCAGTTTGTTAGACTCATAAACAGAGTAATGGTGGGTTCCACTTTAGCTCTTTTATAATTGCAAAGTTATATTTTTGCTGCTTTGTAATAGGATAGTTCTTAGACATCATCTTGAAACAGGTATTTTGTTTCTTTTTTGTGGTGCTGGGCATTAAATGCAGTGCCTCACATAGGCGTTTTTAATTGCCAGTTCCACTGAGCTACATCCCAGCAGAAGTAGGTACTGTGAGTGGTAATACTTACGTCAGTGATAAAGGAAATACACAGCTTAATGTGCAGAGTGTGTCTTACTTCCCTGTAAGAATCATAGGTACTAAAGTACCAAAAATGAGAGATATGGTGGGCGGGCTAGTTTTTGAGACATTACACACAGACTTGGATATACAGAATGCTTAGTGCACTGTAAAATCCCCCTGTCCAGACTGAACTTACATTCCATAGTGACAACATGGCATATGTATTGTTATTAAAATAAGTGAACACATCAGATGTCTTGTGTTTATTTCAGCACAGAAAAAAGTAAATCTTCCCTCAGAGCAGCATAAAGATTAGAAAACAGAATGTTTGTACAGTTAAAGGCCATCTACGCTAAGAGCAACGGTTAGTGTTTGCTGGGCACCTACTGTGTGCCCCACTGCTCTGAGAAGTTTTTATTTTAATTCTGCATAGATGTGGGTATGTATGTGAGTGTGTGCATATGACTGCAGGTGCCCTCGGAGGCTGGAGACATTGAGTATCCCTAGAGCTAGAATTACAGGTGGTTGTGCTGGGAACTGAATTTGGGTTCTCTGCAAAAGCAGTTCTTGCTCTTAACCATTGAGCCATCTCTCCAACCCTCTCCCTTTTACCACGTGTGTGTGTGTGTGTGTGTGTGTGTGCAGCAGTCACAAGACAATTTGAGGAGACAGTTCTCTCCTGGGTATGGACAGGTTTACAGTCTTGGTAGCAGGCACCTTTACCTGCTGAGCCATCTTCTGGCCCCTTAAGAACTAAACATGTAATGTTAAATTAATGGTCTAGGAGGAAGGACCCTTTCCACAGACGGGCCTGGGAGGCAGGCAGTAACTCCACAGCCTTCATCCATTGTGCTCTGCTGCTGTAGGACTGACCACGGGACAGTGCTGTTTATTGTTCCGGTTTAGAATAGATGGGATTGCCTCTTTAGAAGAGTCCAGGAAAGGTTACTAGCATAATAGGGGCTGACAGAGGTAAGGACTTGCTGTGGTGGCCTCTTGAGGTTGGAGTGGCAGTAATGGCCATATTTAATAAGATTAGGCTGCAGCTTGCATGTCCTAATCGGGGACTGTATGATCTGGACCCCGCCAGCACATGACATGAGAGCCTGGGCTAGCCACGTTTCTGCGGTCCTGTCTAGCTGCTGCTGGAACAAGTTTGAGAAAGGTCTCCGTTTTTTGGCTTCCTGCTTTAGTAGTGTTCTGCATTTTGAGAATTTGTTATTGAGTAACACCTGGGCTCATGGTTCTGCCCCAGATAGGTGTGTCTTCTTCCTCTAAAGTGGGGACACTATCTAGAATTAAAGAAAATAGGAAGTTCAAGGGCTTAGCCTAGCATGGTATGCTTTAGTAACTTAGTACATGGCTGCTGTTACTATGATTGTACTGAGTATATGTTTAAAGATCACAGCAAACATGGCTGCCAGTGGAGGAAGCAGCTGGAGCATCTGGCTGATGCAGAGCCCAGGGCGGGGATTGGAAGTCTCCCCAGAGAAACAGCATTCTACTTTGGCTCTTTAGGGAGAAAATTCTCATCCCCATGTTGGGTATTAATGGAGTGTGGTGTGATTGTTTCAGGCCTTTCTTCCCAGTTACCTATCAGGGCATAAGGGTCTTTTTCATCCAAAGTGCTTGGGATTAGTTTCTGGCTCAGTTAATGCTTGTTGAATTCATTAGTGTAAGTCTTATCAAGTTCCCGTTGGTCTTCTGTCCATGGTTTTCCATGTCCATGGATTCATCCAACCACAGATGTGAAATATTTTATTTTTGTGTCAGTACTGAGCATGTGTGGATTTCCTTTTCCTGTGGGGCTCCTGAGGGTGTAGTGTAACAACTGTTACGCAGCATTTTGTTGCATTAGACAGTGTGAGGAATGTGGAAAAACTTGATGAATGTGGAGGATGTGCACAGCTCATGAGCAAATCCCTCACTGTTTTGTTTAAGAGACCTGAGCACCTGTCTGAAGGTTTGGGTGCTCACTGGGTGTTCCAGAACCCATCTGCCACTACCGGGGATGCCGTGTCTGAGCAACAGCAACAGTGACATCTGGTGGCTAGAGTCGGTTATGACCACATTTACAAGCTCCCTAATGGAGCACATCAGACATTGAGAGGCCCAGCTGCTCACTGACCGCAGTGGTCATGGAAACCATGCCCCTGTGTGTAGATGAGGGACTGAAGCCCAGAGTCCCGGGACTCACAGTTCAGGTTCTATCCTTATGTAAATCTGCAGCCCACTCCCTCATAGCTGCAAGGCCAAAACAAAGCCAAAGGATCATGGAGTTCTCCATCCTGGATTTAGGAGAAAAGGAAGAGCCCCGGCGATAATAGAGTGCCATGAGGCCTGTGAACCTGGGTAAGTTCAGGAAGAACCAGCACTGCACGTGTGCCTGAGTCCCTGGCTCCAGGAGTCTGCTTTCCCCTCAGCCACCTGCGTGGGGCAGAGACAAAAGAGGAACATTATCGTAAGTGGGCCAAGCTGAGGCCATCGTCGCTCTCCAGTATTCTGGGCTGTTTCCAGTGTAACTGGATGACTAAAAGTTCATCTTCAGCAGAGGCTACTGTCTACCTTGCTGGCACCCGCTTCAGGTTTACATTTCTGTCAGCAACTCCTCCAGCTTCCACCATCTCCCCACACTCTGAAACTTAGCCATGTCCTTCCTCCTGTTCTTTAGTGGTCCAGTCACCAAGCCCTGCCAGCTTGTCTCACATCTGTCCCTCCACTCCCTGTTGCCTCCACTTTTAACGTAGGCCGGGAATCTGTCACTGTCCCCTCGTGCTAGTGAAGATTTGTAACACGAATCTCAAAAGGCCTTATTAATAAAAACAAACCCGGAGCCAGGTATTGGGGTGAACACTGAAAGATCAGAGAAACAGAACGAGCCACATCCAACCTCACCTCTCCAATTCCTCAGATGATCCTGTTTCCTCAGACTGGAAGCCTCTGAGTCGTCATCCAAATGGATCTCAGCTGAACTACTGCTAAAATCCTAAAAGCTTAATCAGGCTCTAGTTCCTGGTCCTCATGCCTTATATACCCTTCTGCTTCCTGCCATCACTTCCTGGGATTAAAGGCATGTTGTGGTAGTATTGTGTTCCCCAAAATATTGTGTACCCTAATAAACTTATCTGGGGTCAGAGAACAGAACAGCCACGAAATACTTAGGATAGGCAGTGGTAGCACACACCTTTAATCCTAGCATTCCAGAGGCAGAAATCCATGTGTTCAAGGATGCAGCCAAGCATGGTGACTCACGCCTTTAATCCCAGGGAGTGATGGCAGATAGCAGAAAGGTATATAAGGCGTGAGGACCAGAAACTAGAAGCATTTGGCTGGTTAAGCTTTTAGGCTTTTAGCAGCAGTTCAGCTGAGATCCATTCGGATATGAGGACTCAGAGGCTTCCAGTCTGAGGAAACAGGATCAGCTGAGAAGTTGGCCAGGTAAGGTTAGCTGTGGCTTGTTCTGTCTCTCTGATCTTCCAGTGTTCACCCCAATACTTGGCTCCGGGTTTGATTTTATTAATAAGACAGCATGTGTCACCATGCCTGGCTGTTTCCAGTGTGGCTTTGAACTCACAGAGATCTAGACGGATCTCTGCCTCCTGAATGCTACGATTAAAGGCATGTGCTACCACTGCCTAAACCTGTGTTTAATATAGTGGCTGTTCTGTTCTCTGACCCCCAGGTAAGTTTATTGGGGTGCACAATATATCAACCACAAAGATTTGTTTGTCTCAGCTCTCTAAGGGGGAGGCTGAAGAGATCCACGCACAAACTGTTCACTGTGGAAATGCAAGTCAGATGCTAGTAAGTGTGTAAGGCACTGGAGGCCTAGGCAGCAGAACAAACAATTACCGAGATCAGGTTGTCTCCATGTGTGACTGGGGATGTGACTCAGTGGTAAAGCATTTGTACAGCATATTTGAGGCCCTGGGGTCAATGTCCAGCACCAGAAAGAAAGAAAAAAACTACATAAAAACATTAAACAACAACGAAAACCCATGACATGAGCTGAGAATAAAAGAGAAGTGTATTCCCAGTCCGGTCCAGTCCAGTGCATTGTGCTAATGGCTAGGTGAAGGGCCAGGGTAGATCTCATCCAGCTGGGAGGTCACTTAGAACCGGAGGTCACTGGGTCTTGTCAGAACACTGAGGAAGTCAACATGTGGTGACTGAGCTCTCCATATTCACAAACACATTTTAGACGTCGCTCCATTGGTGGAATCAGATCTTCCTGTAACCAAAATGATGTGCCACTAGAACAAAATGTTCTAGGGTCTAGAGGAAGCTGGGGCCAGCAAAACTCGGGTCCATCACAGGTTGAAGAGGTAGACCTCCATCAAAAGGCTTGAGTCTGAAGAAATTGAACTTTTTAATCCTCTGCGGCTCCTGAGTAAGAAGCTGAATAATCAGTAAGGCTTTAAAATCTGGGCCAAAAAATGCCTCAAGGCTGTTGTCTCTGCTCCGAATCTGTGCTCACAGCACCTCTGTGGTGGCTCTTTGGGCCCGATTAGGGTCTGCTCCTGGGAAAAGAGCTCTGGATAGAGTTTCCAACACCCAAATGTAAGCTTTTGGCTCAGTGTCCTGTTTACATGCTGTGACTCAGACCCAAGAGATACTCAGGCCAGGTGGTAGATTGGATTTTGGGCCTCCGAAGCTGAGGTGGAGCTGGATGGGTGGGTGCCTTGGCTTTTAAGCTTCAGTAAAACTCACATTATGAAGTAGGACAACTAGGTATGCAGTAGTATAGACAGTGGGTCCTTCCCACACTACAAAGCTCTTCCACAGCCAGTTTGATTCTCATAGCAATGGTAATACCGCTGCTGAAGAAAATGGAGGAAACTAGAGAGATGGCTCAGTGGTTAAGAGCAATGGCTGCTCTTCCACAGGACCCAGGTTCAATTCTAAGCACCTAGATGGCAGCCCACAGCTATCTATAATTCCAGTTCCAAGGGATCCAATGACCTCTTCTTGTCTCCTCCAGCACCAAACAGTCACATAAAATAACTTAATTTAAAAAATAAAATGAAGTTTGTGACTTGGCTCATATCAGAGTCACTTTTCTGTTCATTTTAGCTTCTCATTAAGCAGAATGACTTTATGCTTATTATTTGTAGGAGGAATATAATTTCAGTGAGGGAAGCCTACTCGATGACCTTGTTACCTTCAAAAAGATAAATACACGTGAGCTGGGACGTTGGCTCAGTTGGTAAAGCGCTTGTCTTGCAAACCTGAGGACCTCAGTTCAGTCCCATGAACCCTTGTAGAAAAAGGCGAGTGTGGTGCTTATGCTTCTGGCCCCAGTGCTGGGGAGGCAGGCAGGCAGACAGCCTAGCCAGATTGGTGATCCTGGGGCCATCGAGAGGCCTTTCTGTTGCTATGGAAAGTGCTCTGACAAGCCAGTTAGGAGGAAGACTTGATCTTAGCTCACAGTTCCAGGTTCAGTCCATCACTGCAGAGCACTCCAGAGCAATGAAACGAATGCATTCTTCCCTACTGCCCAGCTTACTGTTTCTATCCTTCTACAATTCAAAACCCTAACCCAGGTGTCATCCACAATTAAACAAGACAGTAGCCCACAGGCCACCATAAATTACACAGTCTCACTGAAACTCTCTTCCCAGGTGAGACTAGACTGTAACAATTGACAAAACTATCACATCCTGTCTCAAACCGGATGAATGGCTTCTGAGGATCAACCCCAAGGTTGGTGTCTGGCCTCCACAGGCATGCACACAAATAAGTTTGCTATGAGATTGTTTCTCCCAGAAATGTCAGAAGCTACACCCATGAAGTCTCACCAACATGGCTGCCTAAGCATGAACTGATCAAAATGATTTCAACAAACATGCTAACATGGAGAGGGAGAGGTTCACAAGGCCTCAACCCTGGACAAAGAACTACAGGCAACTGAGGAGTGCTGAGGCCAGGAGAAGTAGTGCTCCTCAGAGAAGAGCACAAATTGTCCAGTATCAAGTGGTCAGTCCTGAAAACATACATACAAGTGGCATTATTCAGACTGAACAGGTGGCATCACACACACCAATTAAAAAGAGGCCATAAATTTGAAAGGAAGCAGAGAAGGATATATGAAAAGGTTTGGAGGAAGGAAAAGGAAGAGGGAAAAAATGTAATTATAATCTCAAAAAATATTTTAAAAAGAGAAATGTTAAGTCATGTCCCAGTTGCAGAATATGAAGAGTCAATGGGAATATCAAATGTTTAAGATGTTCCGTTTTCTTATTCTTTTTTTTAAGTATTTTTTTAATTAAAGTTTTCTTTTATTATGTATACAGTGTTCTGCCTGCATGTATGCCTGCATGCCAGAAGAGGGCACCAGATCTCATTGTAGATTGTTGTGAGCCACCATGAGGTTGCTAGGAACTGAACTCAGGACCTCTGAAAGAACAGCCAGTGCTCTTAACCTCTGAGCCATCTCTCCAGCCCCTGTTTTCTTTCTTGTGTTTAATATGAGTATTTTATGTTTCTGAAAATATGTTACAAATAGTTGTGATTGAAGCATGCTACATAATCAAGCTGATGAGATGGTTCAGCAGGCAGAGGCACCTGCTGCCAACCCTGATGACCTGAGTTCCACCAACTCCTACAAATCGTCCTTGGACCTCCACGCACATGCATGGCATAGGTGCCCCCCCAACAAATAAATAAAATGTAATTTTAAAAGTTAAAACAATCAAGCAGTATTCTACAAATACTGGTTAGCGAAACGGGATGTCGGGGCTGGGATAACAAAGTGAAGATGGATTCACATTCTCTTGTCTTCTTAAATGATAGAGCATCAAGTTTATAAACTACAGGAAATTTTCAGACTAAAGAAAAATAAATGTTCCTGGTCTTGTGAGAATGAGTTAATAGAGCATCCTTATTGAAAGCAATCCTTAGGAGCTGCAGAGATGACTCTGGTTAAGAGCACTTGCTGCTCTCGCAGAGGATCTGCATTTGATTTCTAGCACCCATGTGGCGGCTCACAACTGTCTGTGGTTCAGGTTCCTGAGGATCTGATGCTCTCTCTGGCCTCTATAAGCGCATGGCATACACATAGGGCACAGACAAACATGCAAGAAAATACTCATACATATAAAATGATTTGGTAAAAAGCAATCCTTTAGCACAAAATGTTTTACACACACACACACACACACACACACACACACACACACACACACACACACACGCTGTGGTGCTGGGGATGGACCAGGGCCTCATACATGATAGGCAAGCATCTAGTACATCTGCATCTCCAGCCCTTTCTCTCTTAGAACAGGTTTCCCTGTGTATGTAGCTCAGGCTTGGAACTCATTACAGAGCCCAGACTGGACTTGAATTTGTGATCCTCCTACCTGTTCCTCCAAAGTGCTGGGTTTGCAGACAAGTGCATCCATGCCCAGCTTGAAACTTTCTAATACATACCCTAGGAGGCCAGCTTGAAATTCTGTATCTTCTGATGCAGCGTATTATGGTGATATTTTATTTGTATTAAAATGTTATTTGCATGTTAATAAATAAAGTTGTCCAGGGGTCAGAGCTATTAGCAAGCCATAGGAAAGCAGGGCAGTGGTGGCATACGCTTGTAATTCCAGCACTTGGTAGGCAGAGCTGGGTAAGTCTCTGTGTGTTCAGGGATACAGCCATTATTGGATACACATGCCTTTAATCTTAATACCAATCATGGAAAACCTGGAGGCCTATACAGACAGGCCGTGAGGAGGCGGTCATGTGTTTGGGTTTACAACCAATGAGAAGGCATAACAGGAACTCTATATAAAGACTTTAACACAGGGGTAGCTCTAGTTCAGAGAGGTAGGACCACCGCAGGAGGAAGGGTAAGGTTTTAGCTCTTAGCTCTGACCTCTTGGCTTTCTTCTTTGCATTGGTTCTGTGTTTCTTATTTAATAAGAAGGTTGGATACATCTACAGCGTATTCTCATCTTAATGGAAACCTGACTTGCTCCTGGGGACAGTGCTATTCAGAATCCTTTAAGTGCATCTGGCTCCTATATCCCCATACCACAGTCCCCCTCATGATTATGAGGCGAATGAGTGATACATGCATGCTTCGTAGACCCTGCTGCTTTGAGGTGCTGTCTACTGAACCCATTCTGCCTCTTGGCTGTCCTGCAGGTTTCCAGGTCTCAACCTCAGCTCAACACACAGGCAACTGAAGAGCAAACAAAAGTCCTTTTGGTGTGTGCTTTCTGGTCACCTCAGCACATCTGCACTAGGAAAATGACAGAGGCACCACGGCCAGGAAAAGTTGGTGTGTAGTGGGTGTGGTTCCCTTGGAAGTTTAAATTTACCAAAATGTATGCTAAAGAAGTTTTGTGGAAGACTGGAGATATGGCTCAGCAGCTAAGAAGAATTCCTGCTCTTCCAGGGGACCCAATGTCTTCTGGTCTCCATGGGCACATGCATACAGGTTGCAAATACACACACACACACACACACACACACACACACACACACACACACACACACGCACTGACAATGCAGCTTTATGAATGAGATGCTGCACACCTGTGCACACTACTGCACTTCCAAGGGGTGGGCAGGGAGGTGCGGTGCTGTGAGGGCCAGTCCTGCACCTTCACGGGTAATGACGTGGACTCACTTTACATGGCTGGGAAACAAAAAGAAAAACAGCTTCGATACAGCTGACAGCTTTCACGTTACAAAGGCTTGTGAGCATATCTGGAGGCCTCCCTTGGATCATCTTTCCCGTGTTTTTGCTTCCCTTCATGGCTCTGAAATATAGCAATGTCAAACTGGGAAGTGCACTGTCAAAAATAATTTTTTTATTTTGTTTTTTTCGAGACAGGGTTTCTCCGTGTAGCTTTGCGCCTTTCCTGGAACTCACTCTGTAGACCAGGCTGGCCTCGAACTCACAGAGATCCTCTGCCTCCCAAGTGCTGGGATTAAAGGCATGCGCCACCACCGCCTGGCTGTCAAAAATAATTTTTAAAAAGTGTTTTCTTTTAAAAACAAAACCAAATTTCATTATTTTTAAAACTTCTAAAGATGCAAAATAAAATAAAATAAAACGCACTAAAATTCTTCCATACAGATATAATCCCTTGTGTGTTGTTTCATGTATGAGTTTTCTTAGTGATGTGTGTGTGTGTGCGTGTTTGTGTGGGTGCATATGTGCATGGGAAAGACAGAGTTTGTCCTCAGTGTTTATCCTCAACTGCTCTCCACCTTTAGTTAAGATAGGATTTCCAGTGAACTTGAAGCTTAGAGATTTGGCTAGACTGGCTAGAGACACGTTGTTGTCATCCGTGATGTATCCCATAATCACTTATAATATTCCTTTAGTTTTGTTCTGTGCACCATTTGAAAAAAAGGATTTTTTAGATTATTAATGTTTGGCCTGCTGCAATCATCATCATAACACAACCTTCCCACCTTGTTTCATAATTTCCAAGGATACTATGGGTAACTATGTTACACTGCATGATAAATCATCCACTTTCCAAAACCCTTGCAAGCCAGTAGGATATGCATCCTTGTGTGGAACTTTTTAAGAGACACTGCACACCCGTGGTGGTGCAGCTCGTCATCCAGCACTCAGTGGGGGCAGAAGGATCCAAAGTTCAACGTCATCCTAGGTTACAGAGTAAGTTTGAGGCCAGCCTGGGATGCGTGAGACCTTGCCTTTAAAAATAAAAAAATGAATTAAAATAAAAATAAATCCTTAAATAAAATACACTCCGGAAGAGTGAAGGCTTCAGGGGCGTGATGCCCTCTTCCGTCCAGCTGGTGGGTGCGGTTTGGTAGATCTACCCCGCCCGCAGCACCGTCCACTCAGTCCTTTCGGGGCTCTCCCGGCCCCCGTAGACGCAGGCGACCTGATTGGTTTCCCTGGTGACGGTTGCCGGGGCAGCGCGTGCCGGCGTCGGGAAGGGCGGAGGAAGCGCCAGCCGGCGGCCCTGAGGACAGATCTTGAAGCAGGGCCGCGGTAAGTGTTGGGGGGGCTGCAGAGGCCGGGAGCTTGGCGGGGACCGAACCGGTGGCCGAGATTGGGAACCGAACCGGGGGACGAGAGTAGGGACCGAACCTAAGTAACCTGGCCGCAGACGCACCGAGTTGCGGACTCCGTGTGGGAAGGGCTAGTGAGGCAGAGGAAGGACCCTCGTCCTGTGTGGGTAAGACTAGGGCGCAGGTCTTCTGCAGCTACCACTCAGCATGTGGCCTCAGGCCTCACCCCACCCGACCCCTGCATAGGCGCTGCTGCCCTGCCTGGGCTCCAGAGGCCTCAGGCTATTACTGGGGATTTATTACTATGGGGGGGGGGTGAGTGGCGGGGTAGGGTTGAACACAAGAGGGAAGTGAGGGATGGTGGGAAGTGCTACTCAGGTCTGCAGTTTCTGAACCCTGCCCAGGCACTTAACAGAACGTCGTTTCCTTCTCCCTTTGGTCTTTTGAGTAGCGAGGGCTTCACTCTGTAGCCTCGGCTGGTCTAAAACTTACTAGAAACCCCATGTTAGCCCCAAATTGACAACCATACTCACGTGTGAAGCCAGACTGGACTAAATACGAAGATCTTGTCTTAAAAAAGGAAAACAGAATAAAGATTGTAAGGAATTATGGTTGTCTGTGGTTATCTAAGTATTTGTTACAATTACAAAGTGTAATTATCTATAAAAGGCCAAATTCTTTCACTTTTTCTGGAAATATTAGTTAAGCACCTACCATGTCCCAAACACTGTTAGGTCCTGTAACATGACCATGAACAAGGTGGATGAAAATGGCATGTCCTGGGGCTGGAGAGATGGAGAGGTTAAGAACCCTGGGTGTTCTTCCAGAGGTCCTGAGTTCAATTCCCAGCACCCACATGATGGCTCACAGCCATCTATAATGAGATCTGGTGCCCTCTCCTGGTGTGCAGTCATACATGCAGGCAGAACGTTGTATACATAATAAATAAATAAATCCCGTGTCCCGCTAGCCATAGCGGCACATACCTGTAACTCCAGCATCTGAGACGTTAACGCAGATGCCGTGAGTGCCATGAGTGCCGTGAGTGCCGTGAGTTTGAGGCAAGCCTGGTCTACACAGCAAGTGCCAGCACCAGCCACTGCAGGACCTCATCTCAAACAACTAAAAACAAATGTGCATCCTCTGTAGTTTACATACTAGTGGGAGAAAACAGACAATTGGTGTGTAAAGTGTGTGACATGTCAGGTGACCTGGGAAGTGAGACCTGGCTTAGAAGCAGGATGGTAGTTCATACTCATTAACAACCTGACGAAATTCAGAACCATCTAGGAAATAAGCCCTGAGTGTGTCTGTGAGGGAAGACCCACCATCCCATGGAGTCCCAGACTGAATAAAAGGTAGGAGTTTGAAAGGGGGAGTGCAGTAACCACATTCTGCTCTTTGTCCTGATAGTTGCCGCCCTTCCCCGCCATGGCTGCCTGTGTCCCCAAGACTGTGAGCCAAACTAAATCATTCCTCCCCAAGTGGCTTTTATCACAGATTAGACACGGCAATGAGAAAGGTGATTAATACACAGTTGGGAAAGGGATGCAGGTCATTAGGGAGGCCACCCCAGAGGAGAGGCCCACTGGATCCAGAGATGCCCAGAACACGTGGAGAAAGGAGTATAGAGGGAACAGCAAGTGTGCAAGGGTGTGAGCCCGAGGCACCCCTAGTGACCACATGGGAGTGGAGGGGAGCAGAGCACACTGGGCCTGGCTTCGTGCTGGAATGGACATGTTCTGCTGGACAGTAGCAAGGCCACCCCGGCTAATGTGTTAACAGACCGTGGTAGAGGGGTGAGATAAGAGCAGATAAAGGCCTGAGTCATGAAACAATGGTAGTAGCCCGTTAGCTGATGGTTGTTGGTCTAGGCCCTAGACTCTAGGGGTTGAGGTAGAGAAAGTAGAAAGAGGTTTACCAGAGGAGACTCCGGAAGTCCCGACACGGAGATGTCTGTACACGCATGCTTGTGGGAACATCACCACCAGCTGAGAAATGGAAGCAGCATCAGTGTCCATCAACAGAAAAGGGATGAAGAAGGTGTACATAAGGCAACTTTAGAAAAATGAACCGTGGCATTTGCAGGAAATTATTGTGTTAAACAAAATAAGCCAAGCTTAGGAAGATGAATATCGCATTTCCTGTCATATATGATTCCAGACTGTAATATCTATGTCTGGGGTGCTGCCGTGAAAGTAGAAATGATCATGAGCCTGGGAAGGGATCTAAAGGTACAGAGGAAAGAGGGTGATAGGAGACGTAGGGCACAGAAGGGACTGCTGGGGGAGGAAGAGGGGGGCTCAGAGGATCAGCAGGAAGGAGGCCAGTAGCCCCAGTGAAGCCCATTGTGGTTGAGATCACGATTAGTTAAGATCCATTTTGGCTCACAAAGCTGAAGTACAAGGTTGAGGCGCCACATGATGGCCTTGTTGCCAGAGTCTAAAGTGATTGAAGACATGGCATGGTGAAAGACAGAGAGTATGTTTGCATACACGCATGCGTGTGTGAATGTGTGTGTGTGAGTCTGTGTGTACGTTTGTGCAAGCATAGCAGTTTCTTAGAAAGGCAAACACAATTTTATTACAGAACCGGCATTTTCACTTCAGGTATTTACCAAGGGAAATGAAAGCATGCCCACATGGTTGTCTCAGTGTGGATGTTCATAGCAGTTTGATTCTGGGTAAACTGGAAACTATTCAGACTTCCAAGTGGCAGGTAGAACTATAGGCCAGTGTGGCGTCTAGACATTAAAATGCTACACAGTAGCGAAAAGGAATGGCCTGAAACATGAAGCAGTGGGAGCGAATATCTGAAAGGTGGCACTGGGCAAAAAGAAAAAAAGATCTAGTCACAAAACCCTAACCACTGTGTGACTCTGGCCCTGTGAAATTCTGCAAAAGGCAGAACAAGTCAGCAGAGTAGATGGGGTGGGGACTGCCAGAGTGTGTGAGAGCAAGGGGCACGCGGGAGCTCTGGTTGTGACAGAGATGCCTTTTGGGGTAGTCGTGGCCTAGCTGAGGGTCATATCTGTCGAAAAGCAAAATAGCAGCTATGGTGTGGGGGATTGATTGTGGTGGCGTAGGGATAAGTGGGAAACTGAGGACGCCCTGGGCCCCTGCAGTAGTTAACTGGTAATAGAGAGCTAAGCAGGGGAAAAGGCCAGGTGAGTTATTTGACATGCCCGCGTGCGGCACGTGCTGCTGGCTCTGAGTAGTAGATGAGCATCCAGGGCAGAGGGAGCCAGGGAATATAGATGTTTTGGGAGAGAAGGATGGTCCCAGGAGATAGGAATTGTCTCCTAGATTCTGTTTGGAATTGGGAGGAGGCTGATACAGACAACATCTTGGGACAAACTCCAACTTTGATATTGATAGTGAAATTTCAGAGAGGAAACAGAAACAAGGGTGACTTTGTTGGTGTGTTACACCCTAAGGTAGATAAGGTTTTTGTGTCAGTTTGAGCCCTTCCCTTGCCTGTGGAAAGGGAAGAACAGACATGGAGCGAGGATGCATGCCAGGCAGACTGACTCAAAGGGGCTTGTCTTCTGAGCACCAGCAGTGGGTCACCTCAGCAGCACAGGTAGAGAGATTTGATGTATGTGCTTTAATGTATGTGAATTACACCTCAGACAAGTTGTCTGTGTATTTATTTATTTTGGCTTTTGACACACAGGGCCATACAGCCCAGGCTGGCCTTAAACTAATTCTCCTACTGAGATCCGAAGTCTGGGATTGTAGACATGTGCCTACATGGGATGGGATAGTAGATCTATCCCTCAACTCTGAAAGAAGAAATGATAGCTGGGGCTGGTTTTCCAGAGATGGGGTTCTAGCTGTTCTGAGAATGGGCCCAGACACCTTCAGTTTTGGCAGCTCCTGTGAGATGCTAATGTGCATCCAGAGTTGAGAGGTGCTGACAGAAGGGCCAGGCAGTCTCTGCTCAGCCCTGGCTGTCGGTGATTGAGGTGAAGGATTCTGAGTGTCTTCTTGGACTCACTGATGGCTCTATGAGAACCTGGGCCTCAGATGGCACACATCGCCACAGGCTAGCTGTGCAGTCACCTTCTGGCTTTCTCTGTCTTCAGGGCAGGATGGCGGCTGAGGAAAGCTCAGCAGACACTCTGCGGCTCCAGTTCAAGGCCATGCAGGAGCTGCAGCACAGAAGGTTACAGAAACAGATGGAGAAAAAGAAGGAGAAAGAGCTGAGCTGTAAAAGCGAAGTTGACCAGGAGGGGCTTGTGGAGATCCCAGACAGCCTCAGCCTCCTCGACACAGAGGAGCAGAACCTGAAAAACATCTTTGAGAAGAGGTAAGGACTCCTCAGCAGCATGCAGGAAGGTGGGGAGGGAGGGGACAGTGGGGAGGGGGGACGGTGGGGAGGGAGGGGACGTGGGGAGGGGGGGATGGTGGGGAGGGAGGGGACGGGGAGAGGGAGGGACGGGGGAGAGGGAGAGGGAGGGACGGTGGGGAGGGAGGGACGGTGGGGAGGGGGGGACGGTGGGGAGGGAGGGACGGGGGAGAGGGAGGGGACGGGGGAGAGGGAGGGGAAGGGGGAGAGGGAGGGGACGGTGGGGAGGGAGGGGACGGTGGGGAGGGAGGGGTGCGGTGGTTGCAGACATAGACAGCTGGCTCAACCGGGCAAGAGTTTGTAAGCTCATAGTGGTTTGGCACAGAGAGCTGAGGCCTCTTGTAGCCAGCAGGGCTCTGCTTTCTGGATTCGAGCTGCTGGGCCGTGTGTGTGAGCCAGATGGAGGACTGTAGACTCCGCAAGTGTGGTTTATTGGTCGGGAGTTTCTTTCGGAGTCACTTTGCTAAAATCCACGTTTCTAAGGAAAGGGATGGAATTGATAGTTTGTAGGTCACCCTGGTTCTGGCTTCCACCTCTGCCAGCACTCCCCCACACACCCTGAGAGATGGCAGCATGTAAACACCACCGTTGTGAGGCTCTGCAGATTCCTTACCTTTTTTTTTTTAAATCACGGTAGGAAGGTTGAAAGGTGTCCAGAATCTTCTCAGTGCTCTGGACTTGACAGTGCCGTGGCACACGCAGGTCCACGCAGGCTGATGTGGCACCCCTGCTAGCCTTTACCAAAGACCAAAGCCACTGATGATTGTCTCGCTTCTAGTTTTGCTCAGAATCTGTTTTTGCTGGCTTCAAACTGTACACACACAAATGCACCCGTCCACGTGGACACACACGCTCACAAACACACACAATGAGGGTTTTTATATAACCCATATGAAGAAATAACCAACGCTGTCCAAGCCTTCCTACATGGTGCATCCACACTTAATCAATTACTTTTCAGTCTTATTTTGTGCAGACAACTTTTTAGTGCCCCCTAGCGCCCAACTATGGTACTACAAGCCTAGCAAGAAGCAGGACCCTGGGCCCTAGTTAGTGCCTATGAGGAGCAGTTGATCCACCTTTCCCATACAGGGTGCTGGAAGACGAAATCCAGCAGCTTCGGAGTGAACTCAGGGAGACAGTCGATGAGAACGGGCGGCTGTATAAACTGCTGAAGGAGAGGGACTTTGAGATCAAACACCTCAAGAAGAAGATAGAAGAGGACAGGTTTGCCTTCACAGGTAACTCCTCCACGGCTGTGCAGTCCAGGAGGGTGGGCCTGGCTGTCCTGTAACTCCTCCACGGCTGTGCAGTCCAGGAGGGTGGGCCTGGCTGTCCTGTAACTCCTCCACGGCTGTGCAGTCCAGGAGGGTGGGCCTGGCTGTCCTGTAACTCCTCCACGGCAGTGCAGTCCAGGAGGGTGGGATCAGTTGTCTTGCAGGCTCCAGAGAGCAGTGCAAGGGTCAGGTGGTCACAGTGGTCTATGGAGTTGCTGGCAGGTCTGTTTCTCCTTGGTGCTTGGCTTGGACGTTACCAGCGACTGCTATATGCTGCAGAAGTCTGGGACCCAAACACCCTCAACAGGTGCATGCCCCCTTCAGCAGCTGCTCTGCTGACCCTAGCCCTGTAGGTCTGGGCTACACTTTGTTTCTGCTGGTGAAGATTTTGGCACCAGAGCTGTGAGAGGCTGGTCCTGCAGGTCTTGGGGTAACTAACCTTGGCCCTGTGAGTGTGTGCTAGGCACAGGCTCTGCAATGATGCCTCTGACCTTAGCCGTGTGAATTGTTGAGGACTCTGGTCCTGATGACACAGTACTCCTGTAGACCACATCATACTTCCCAGATAGCTGTTAACAGAAAGCTAGTGCCATCTACCATAGGGAGCAGCATGGCTGACCCTGCCCTTTCCAGAGTCCCTCCCTGTCTCCCTGAACAGTTCTGACAAAGGTCCCATCAGGAGGACCACAGCATCCTAAAGGCCATGGGTAGCTGGATGCACCTACTCCTTCCATTCTTTGGCTTTTCCTGTTCAGAACAGAAAATACAGGAGTCAAGGCTCTCGTTTGTGAGGACAGACACTCAACTTTGCTTCCTGTTGCTCAGGGGCTGGGAGGTGGAGGGACTGTGGTTAAACCAGTGAGCTCCAGGCAGAGCAGGAGATCCATGTCCACCAACAGGGCCTGGGGTGGTCCCTCCTCCCCAGCCTGTCCTGTGGCTCCATCTCCACCATCTGCCAGTGCAGACTTGGCAGCTTCGACTGACTCTTCCTGAGACTGCTCAGCTCCACTCTCCATGCTGAAATCATCATTCAGCCCTTGCTTTGGAGAGAGAAGTCTGGCTGTTCCTTGTTTATCTGTTTTTTTTCCCTTCCCTCCCTCCCCTTTTTTTTTCCTCCTGTCTCCCTCCCCTCATCTCCTCTCCCCTCTTTTCTTCCCATCACATCTCTGTGTCGTTCAGGCTGTCCTGGAACTTGGCCTTCCTCAGCCTCCTAAATGCTTGAATTAGTAGTGCACCACCAGGTGTAGCCCCATTTCCTGTTTGCCTTAGAACTACACCAAGCACAGCACGCACTCCAGTTAGAATTCCTTCATCCACTTGCCGAAGACCATAGAAACTAGTACCATCTAGGTCCCCTTGTGTCCTGCGTGAGTGTTATAGCTTTGTGTTTTGTTTTGTTTTTCCAGACAAGGTCTCATGTAGCACAGGCTATATATACTCTATTTCTCTGTGTAGCTAAAGCAGGCCTTGAACTCTTGATCCTTTTGTTTCCATCTCCCAAGTACAGGGGTTGCAGACATGAGCCGCCACGCCACTCCGATGTGTACTGTACCACCTGTATGGAAGAGCCCGTGGTCAGTGCTGAGACTTCCGCTTGTAGCGATCACATATTTTCAAGACTGTCTTCACTCACCCCCTCTGCTGCCATGTCTGTCCCCAGGGTTGCAGCTTCAGGGTGAGGCTATCCTGGAGGAAGGACTCGGGAAGGCAGGGAAAGGATTTTTGCTGTTCTCACGGGCTCTCTCCCTGCTCCTCCGGCTTCCTTGGACAGTTTTCTGGTGGCTAAAAGCAGATTTTTTGTTGTTGTTGTTTTTGAGTCCCATGAGGAAATTAGCTCCCAGGGAGACCATCCCTGGATCATTCCTGTTTTGTCTCTGGAAGTTGTCAGTTGCTTCTCTCTAGAACCCTCCTCCATGGACTCTATTCCATAAGAAACATGGGTGTTCATACTATATCTTACCCCCAAACTCAGCTGAAATGGAGTTTCTTTACCTGCTGGAGGCCATGACTTTCTAGACACCATGCTTGACTGTCTGAACAGCTGTGTGGATTTGAGGTGCAGGTTGTATTTTTAATGAACTTGCCATTTCTTTCATTTTAGGGGCAACTGGGATGGCTGGAGATCTAGTTGCTACCAAAATCGTTGAACTGTCCAAGAAGAACCGGGGGCTGACGGCGGAGTCCGAGAGTGCGAAGGCCAGAATAAAGCAGCTGACTAATCGCATCCAGGAGCTGGAGCGTGAAGTAAGGGCCTAGGCTTCTCTTCCTCGGGAGGGGGCTCTAGAGAGAGGCCACACTTGGAGGGCACAGGGCACAGGGTTTGCAGTGCGTTCCCCAGTTCCTGCCACATCCAGAGAGAGGGGGTATGACAGGCAGCCAGGGGGCACTGGCTGCTGAGAAGAAGCCTGGCATGGTCTGGCTAGAGAGATGGACACAGAGCTTCCCTGTGAGGCCTGAAGCTGCTGCCATGCCTCTAAATGTGCCTGTCCCCCATCCACCAACTGGCCACAGTGGTGGACCTGCTGCCAGGTTTCCTGAGAATTGAATGATGTGGCATTTCTAAACTGCTTAGAACAGAGCCTGGCATGTAGAAAGCGCTAGATAAACATGTGCTCAGTCAGCTCCCAGAAACCCCTGCGCATCTGTAGCTACAGCCAGGAGTAAGGACCCTGCTGTCCCTCCCCCTGCTAACCACAAGCCCGCTGCTCCGGCAGGGGCTCAGCCACTTGTTCTGGGTCCTCAGGAGTTGGGGTGGGTTCCTTGGGCTGAGTGAGCCTTTGCAGCCTTTCCTGAGTCTAGTCCCAGGCCCTGCATGACCCACCCTGGTCCTCACACTTGGCACTGAACAGGACTTTCTTCATCCTGGGATGTATTTCTAGAGAACTGGCTCAGAGAATGGTGCTTGAGAGGAAGCTGAGAGTTCCACATCTGGATCCTCAGGCAGCAGGAAGAGAGAGCAACAGCTGGACCTGGCTTGAGCTTCTGAAACCTCAAAGCCCACCCCCCAGTGACACTCGAGGCCATACCTGCCAATTGTGCCACTTCCTATTAGTGTAGGGGGGCATTTTCATTCAAACCGCCACAGAGAGTGTGGCTGTGCTGTGGTTATTATTAAGGTCTCAGTAGGTCCTTGGGCTGCTCTAGGGAGCAGGGCTGACCACCAGTCGGCCGCTCCCATCACATTCCTTCCACAGTGAGCCACAGTGAGCCAAGGGCCCAAACACCAGGACGGTGGCCACACACCCGCAGCAGCAGGTGCTTCAGCTGGCTGTGCAGCTGCTGAGCACAACCAACTATTGATACCAGGTCTGCTTTTCCAGCTGCAGATGGCACCAGCCAGGCCACCGGCCAAGGGGACCACTGACACAGAGGACAAGCCACTGAGGACCCAGACGGGAGACAGAGCCTTGGTACGAGTTCTCCTCTGTGCTGGGTCTGTAGGCAGCTGTCACCTGGGCCTCCCCTCCCGAGAGGTTCTCGGGTACCCTGCCATGGTCTCCTACCCATTGCTCAGCCAAGGGCTCTTCTCTACCACTGTGGCCACCTCAAAACAGCCCAAGGAAACAGCTCTGTCTATGCCCTGTGACCAGGATGCCTGGCAGAGGCAGGGGAAGGCCCATCCTGAGCTAGTTTCCATGGGGTTAGGAGAACTGGTAGAGCCGGGACCTCCAAGGCCTGCGGACACAAGACCCGGGGAGAAAGCTGATCTGCCTACTGCCTGCTCCCAGGCCGCCATCTCCTCCATCACATCCTCACAGGGAGAGACCCACAAAGCCTTACCCAGCAGACAAGCTTGCTCCCAGCTCCTCAGAGAATCCTGTTCTTTTCCCCCTCTAATTTGTACGCATGTATATGTGTTTATGTGTGTGGGAATGCATGGGCGTGTGTACATGTGCATTTATACATGTGGAGGTCAGAGGACAACCTCAGGGGTCTTCCTCCGAAATGGCGTTCACTCCCGTGAGACAGGGTCTCTCACCAGTTTTACGCGCTGGCTGGCTGAGCTGTGCAGCGGGATTGGAGGGTCCTCCTGTCTCTGCCTCCCAGCACTGGTGTTGCAATGCCAGCTTCCCACGTGGGGCTAGGGACTGACCTCAGGTCCTCACACTTGCAGTTTACCAGGTGAGCCGTCTCCTCTCGTGTGAGCCCCGTTCTTTGTAAGGCACCGCAGCCTTGGGCCCTGTGCACACTGCAGCCCTGGGGGCCTGTGCACACTGCAGCCCTGGGCCTGTGCACACTGCAGCCCTGGCCCCTGTGCACACTGCAGCCCTAGGCCTGTGCACACTGCAGCCTTGGGGCCTGTGCACACTGCAGCCTTGGGCCCTGTGCACACTGCAGCCTTGGGGCCTGTGCACACTGCAGCCCTGGCCCCTGTGCACACTGCAGCCCTAGGCCTGTGCACACTGCAGCCTTGGGGCCTGTGCACACTGCAGCCTTGGGCCCTGTGCACACTGCAGCCTTGGGGCCTGTGCATACTGCAGCCTTGGGCCCTGTGCACACTGCAGCCTTGGGGCCCTGTGCAGCTCTGCAGATTTACAGATTCACTCCCCAGACCCATTTTTTAGCTAGTGAACATGCCAGAAAATGTATCCCACCCATGTGCCAGGTGGTGGTGGTGGTGGTGGTGGTGGTGGTGGTGGTGGCGGCGGCGGCAGCGGCGGTGGCTGCACACGCCTTTAATCCCAGCACTGGGGAGACAGAGGCAGGCAGATCTCAGTGAGTTCAAGGCTAACCTGATCTACAGAGTGAGCTCCAGGATAGCCAGAGCTACACAGAGCAACCCTGTCTCAAAAAAAAAAAAAGTAGGCCATGTGAATGTAGCTCCATGAAAAGGTAAGCTTGCCAGGGATGTAGAGCCCAAGTCAGACTAAACTGCATCTGAGTCTCCAGAATGTCCCAGCAGCCATGCCAGGGGCTTCTCAGGAAGCCAGACCAGCCGTGGCAGAGGGGGCCAAGCCCCAGGACTCCTGGTTCAGTGCTCCTTTTCCTGCCTCATGTCCCCTCTTGTCCATGCCTCAGGATCAGGCCACCACTTGCTGATCTTGAGAGAAATTCAGTCCTGGGTGTGCAGTGATGGGCCCCATGGGGTGTAGGGATGAGTGTGTAAACCAGTGTCGTTGCTGGGGGGGCAACCACAGTGCTCTTTGTGGAGGCGGACAGTGTTCTTCACAACCCTTCCAGCCAAGGAACACGCCAAGCTGTCCTTGACTCATCCAGGTCATCGAGGTCCCTTGACTTGAGTTACCCTGGGTAACATTGTTGTGTCCCTCGTTAGCCTGAGAGGTTTATCTGCCTTGTCATACAGTGATTCAAACCTGGCCTCTGTCCACAGAGGGTCTAAGAGGAAAAGGAGCAGCCATGTAGAGAGGGTGTGATGGGCCTTCAGAAACAGGCCAGGCCTGAGCTGGCAACAGGAGGTTACCCTCCATCTGTGGGCTAGCGGTGGTGAAGGTGCCATGCTCTGGCGAAGTGGGTGGTGAAGGCCTTCCAGGAGGCATAGAGGCCAGGCACCAGAACAGAGTTCTGCCCAGCTGGCTCACCTGGATGCCAATTGGATAGCAATTGGTTTGAGCCCAGAGCCCACACACAGGAAAAGGACATGCACCAACATAAAATGGGTTGGGGGACCCAGGGAGAGGCTCTTGAGTGGCCACTGGAGCAGGGGTCTCAGATGGATTCTGTAGCCAACCTCAGGAGCCTGAGTCTCTGATAGAAGAGTATGCTAGGCTACAGATCTCATCTTCTCCAGGCTAGGAACTCTCCCTGTTGTCTTCTGCTCAGAGACAGAACAAAACCATGTCTGGATCATCGGACCCCAAGGGACAGCAGCATTATAGAGGCCTGCTTCTCACTGCACATTCTGGCCCCAGTCCCCTCTGAAATACATTCCAAAGTGCCTTCCACTCTGCAAGAAGTGTCAGAAGATTGTGCTGTGAGCAGTCAGCAATGCCTGTTCCCAGAGCACTGTGACTGTTCCTTCCAAAGAAACAGCCTGCTCTGGGGGCCAGGCCAAAGCCCAAGGTGACTGGGAGGGAGAATGGGCCCAGCTCCCTGGATGCCATCTGGTTCTAGTCCCCTTGTCCGCTGCCCACCCAAGCCAAGAGGCCTTGGCACACCTCCCACATGCCTCCCATGCACCTGAGGCTAGCATGAAGCACTTCTGTGTGGTGAGGAGCTGAGGCCTGGAGTGGGCATCACAGCCTGGCTCTAGCTCCAGATGTGTCCTGTGTGTTCTGCTCATGCTCTGAACAGCCTTCCAAGATGCTGCCAGATCTCAGAGGTACAGGGACGCTCATGCATTCCTGCAGTGCCCAAAACAGGACTGTCAAGGCCCTAAGGTTCATGGCATGAAGCCCTGAGTACCAGGAGGAGGTGTTGCTTCTCAGCTAGGACGGATTTAAAGATAAGGATTAACAGAGAGAAGAAAAAGGGAGTGGCAGCCAGCCACAAGGGCAGAAAATGTGTATTTTTTTCAAGGACCTGTTTGCATGTTGTGGAATTCTCCACTCTGCAAATATTGTTCACATTGGTTTTTCACTTTTATCCTGGCAGTGGCGTTGAATGCAGTCAGGACTACTGGACCCCATGGCCACTGGTTTTTCAGTAGGCTGTCCCAAGTTCCATGGAAGTCCGTAGACTTGGTCTGCTTGGTCTCTCTTTCACGCTAACATTTACAGGAGTTTCCGTTGGTGCCTGCTAAAGAAAGTGGCCTCCCGTTGTAGCCACAGTGCTTCCCCCAAACCCAGGCCCCTGGTCCACGGGGCAGGAGCAGAGGTTTCAGCACAGCCTGATGGTAGTTTGCTAACCAGCCTCACTGTTGCCACGACAACAGCATAGCAACATTGACAGCAGGAGCTCAGATTGGGAGACATGGCCAGGACAGCAGGAGGACCAGGGTTCTAATCCCACCATGCTATCCCCATCCCTGTGTATACCAGGGCAGTTTGCTTCTTTCTAGACTTGATTTTCATCACTGACAGAAGGAATTTGAATGGCTTGATCATGGAGGTCCCATGAATATCTACGGAGACAGAGATAGGCAGCATATATATTTTTAAATTATATTTATTAATTTATTTATTTTTATGCATGTTGGTGTTTATCCTGCATTTGTATCTGTGTAAGGGTGTAGGATCACCTGGAACTTGAGTAACAGACAGTTGTGAGTTGCCATGTGGGTGCTGGGAATTGAACCCTGGTCCTTTGGAAGAGCAGTCAGTGTTCTTAACCGCTGAGCCATCTCTCCAGCACTGACAGGCGGTATTTTAATCATTTGTTTCCAACATTTGCCTCAACATCATATCATCATCATCATCATCATCATCATCAATCGTCGCCATCATCTTGGAGACAGGGTCTCACTGTGTAGCCCTGGCTGTCCTAGAACTTTTTATGTAGACCAGGCTGGCCTTGAACTCACAGAGATCCACCTGACTCTGCCTCTCAAGTGCTGGGATGAAAGGTGTGCACCACCACACCCAGTTCAGACATTATTTTTTGAAGAGAAAAGATAAAAGCAGACGTCCCTGAGTTCCAGCATGTGCCTTTCAGGGTTGGTGTTTCAAGCCGTATTTCCATTAGAGCAAACACACAGCACCCCACTCTGCTGGCAGAGTCATGGCCTGTGCTGACAGCTCTAACTCCAGAAGAAGAGGCCTTGAGTTAGGGAGTCATAACGTGCCTGCTGAGCTGGTGTGGCTTTCTGAAGATGGAAGGAGATGCTCTTAGCATGAGCCTGTCTCTGGGCATAGCAGAGAGTGGCCATACCCAAGGAGTGTCTGGAAGGTGTGGAACCTGCTGCCTTCTCTAGATGTTCCAGCCTTGTCCACGCATGTGGTCACGTGTGTGTGTGTGTGTGTGTGTGTGTGTGTGTGTGTGTGTGTGTAATACATGGAGCAAAGAGCTCAGCCCTGAAGCTGAACTCCAGGATTCAGTCCATGCTCCTGCCTGTACTAACCAGGTAGTTAAGGCCCCTAACGCTTACCTCCTACCTCAGCTTTGCATCTCAAGGAGCTGGGGATTTCCCGAGGACTTGCCCAGTGCCTGGAACATACACAAGCAGTAGCCCTGATTGTCATTAGTATGTAGGTGACAAGTAACTGCTTTCTCTCTGTCCTTCCCATCCAGCCGGAGACCCCAGAGGTGAAAGCGCTACAGGACAGGCTTGCAGCCACCAACCTGAAGATGAGTGACCTACGCAACCAAATCCAGTCTACAAAGCAGGAACTCCGTGTGGCCCAGAAGGTCTTCCAGAGTCAGGGTGTGGGACTTCTTATGTGGCCAGGGTTGGTCCCAGGAAAATCCTGATGGCCCATTCTTCCAAAGCCAGGGTGCTCACTCCTGCTTGTGCCCTCTCTGGGGACAGAGTGGCTGGCTACTTGGGGGCTTCCCACTACCCTGGGGGCTACCCCAGGACTGAGATTAGCTCTGCCCATGGAGGAGAGGCCTGGGAGCCTTCACTGAACCTCCCCCCAACCCTGCCCTGTGCCCTGGTAGACCCTAGATTTCCACTCAGTATGCTGTCTTGCCTGTGGCTCAAAAGGCTGCCTGGCCCTCCTGCTGCTCTCTGTGACCTGCAGTATAGAAAATGAACAGGGAATTTGTGCCCTAAAAGCTCTTTTCAGAGGAAAATGCTCAGGTGTAGCATGTGGGCCCCAAGGGCCAGCTGGTCTGATCTGTTGATATTGACGTAGTAAATTCTCTGGCATGTGTCCTCCTTGCTGGGACCGCTCAGACTGGCCAAGAGTTCCAAAACAGTGTTCTGTTGTGGAGACAAGGGCCAGAGGCGCAGCCTGCTGGATGGGGATCAGCTTGGTGACATACGGAGGGTATTAGTTCTACCTCAAAGCCTTGAGGTAGGCCTAGCGTCATACAACTTTGGTGGCCATGATGTCAGGTGTTCCTTAAGCACATAAGCCTCATTTGATTCTTCTATGTTTCCAAGAGACACTTGACAGTGGCTGTCACAAAGGGCCAGGCCCTGTGGCAGTGCGCTTCCTGAGCCAACCAGAATTCTGTGATAACAGGAAACAGGTGCAAGGAAGCAGGCAATGATGGGCCCTGCGGACAGGACAGTGCTGGAGTGTCACAGAGAAAGGCAGAGCTGACCTGGGCCTTTGACAGCAGAGCTTTGAGGTGTGAAGAAGGCCATGCAGATGAAGCAGGCCTTCAGGAAGCCCACCCCACCTCTGAGTCCCATGCAGTGAGTGTCAAGAAGGGCCTGGGCAGCCCCTCTCCTGTCCACACTGAACCCCTTGCTTCGTTTCAGGTTCTGGCCAATGAAGTTGGGGACGATGTAAACATCCAGCAGCTCCTGGCCTCTCCAGGGACCTGGAGGGGGAGGGCTCAGCAAATTCTAGTTTTACAGAGTAAGGTGAGTGAGTCACCAGATGTCTCCTGGCCCTGAACAGAAGGCCTAAAATGCCCCCCAAAACACCGCCCTGACCCTCATTAGAATCTGGAGCACACACTACCACCCCAGGCCTGTGGGTCCCAGAGCGTGCCCTTGCAGAGCCCAGGGCTCTGCCTTCTCCTCCCGAGCCTGATTTTCATTTGTTAGTGCATGCGCACCACTTACATAATCCTTTCCACATGCCTGGCCCTGGCACTAACCATCAGCCTTGAGTTGGATCTCCTTCTCTGCAGGCATGTTTTTCCCAAGTTCGTGTAAATTTGCGTGACTGCTGTAATGGTAGGCTTTTTCCAGTTTCATCCCAGAGGCTCAGTCCTTTGAAAGTTTTTGGTAACCAATAAAACAGCCTGGTCTCCCTTTTGTTTTCTAAGTATTTTGGCACACACCAAAGGAAGTTAAAAGCAGCAGCTCCAGAGCTGACTGTCTTGAGTTCAGATGCCAGCACTCCCTTACCACCTGTGGACTGGCACACAAATGACTGCCTCTGCCTCAGTTTCCACATCTGTATAATGGGGATAACAGCAGCATCTGCTCCCCCAACCCTTGGGCTATTGGCAGAAATGATTGTCAGCACATGGGGGGGTGGAGGTCCTCAGCACAGTGCCATCTTGGAGGGAGCACTGGACAGTGGTTAGCTAAGGCTTACTACCCCCCCCCCCCCTCATTTTGCCTTTAGCCTGAGAAGCTCATGGAAGGTGTGTGATTCCCTCAGTTCCTCGAGCATGCCGCCTGCATTCCCGGGCACTGGGCCCACACCCTCCTGGCTTTTTCCTTAGTATCTTTTGTGAAATCCGTGAAGCCAGCATGAAGGGGAACAGCCACCCAAAACTTTGGGGTCGTAGAGGCATGAGTTTGAATTTCCTCACCTTTAAGTACCCAGCACATACCAGCTCAAAAAATTCACTACCACTATTATTAAGCTGAATGTTGAATGTTTTCACTGTCATTTTATACATTTTAATGTCCTTATCTACCTCCATACCACCTTGAACATGCATGACCTCATCTGATTCTAGAGAGAAGACTGCCTCTGGCCTGGTGCTGGGAAAGCTTAGATTCTCACCCTGTAAAATGTATCAGAGGTCTCAGGGTAAGACCTAAAACTCTGAAAATGCTCTAGGAAGAACAGACAAAGACCAGGCCTGAGTGGGATCTGATAGCTGGAGACAGAGAGGCAAGAACTGATGGGGCAGTCTCTGCCAGATGATGCTCTGAAGATTAATATTCAGAATATATAAAGAACTCAAAAACTTTAACAGAAGAACAAGTAACTCAGTTTTTAAAATGTAACATGATTTCCACATACACTCTGAAGAAATTCAAGTGGTTAGTAATGTGTGTGTGTGTGTGTGTGTGTGTGTGTGTGTGTGTGTGTGTGTACAGAAGCCAGAGTAGACATAAGGTGTTTCTCTCCACTGTACTGACGAGTGTCTCCTGCTAGACCCAGCGCTGAAGGACTCAGCTAGTCTAGCTAGCCGGCCTGTCCCAGGCTCCCCTGTCTCTGTGTCTCAGGGCTGGGATTACAGGCAGGCACTCTCTCCACTGAGCCATCTCCCCAGCCCCCAACAATACATGTTTTAAATAGTCGACATCCTGAGCCTTAGGGAAATACAAGTCAAAACTGCATTAAGATTCCAGCTCTTCTAGTTAGGAGCACAGTCATGAAGAAGACAACATATGCTGATGAGGCGTGGGAAAGAGGACATTAGACACTGCTGGGCACTGCACGTGGTGTAGCCACAAAACTGATGGTAGAGCCACGGTATGATCTGGCTCTTCCACTCCTGGATACATACTCAGAGGTCCCAGAGACACCTGCTTACTGTGTGGTCTCAGTCTGGATGCCCATCAGTACATAAAGTACAGACTCGGTGCACGAAAGGAGGATGCAACATGTATAAACTGGCATCTTAGCCAGAGATAAAAAACCAGAAGTAGGGGCTGGAGAGATGGCTCAGAGGTTAAGAGCACTGACTGCTCTTCCAGAGGTCCTGAGTTCAATTCCCAGCAACCACATGGTGGCTCACAACCACCTGTAATGAGACCTGGTGCCCTCTTCTGGCCTGCAGGGATACATGCAGGCAGAATACTGTATACATAATAAATAAATATTTAAAAAAAAAAACCAGAAGTATAATATTTGCAGAAAAATGAATAGGATTTGAGGTCATTATGTTAAGTAAAACAGCCACACTCAGAGAAACAAATATTTCATGTTTTCTCTCATAGAGCATTTTTTAAAAATGACCTGAAAGATGGACAATAAAGAGAAGAAAACCAGGGGAGGGGAAGAGAGTGGATATGATTCAAACAAGGTCACAAATGTAAGGAAGTGTCACAGAGAAGCCCACTGTTTCGTACAATTACTATGAGTTTTGAGATTTATAATAAAAATGAATATTTAAGAAACAAAATCACCTGTGGCTTTTGTTAAAATATGGCTTCCAGGCCTTTCCTGCCCCCGGAGCCCTGCATTTCGGTCTGGAGTGAACTCCAAGACTCGTCATTCCAGGAGAACTGGGGGGGCTTGCTAGGCTCAGGTGGGTGTTGGGGTAAACTATGCAGAATGTACTCTTGGGGCAGAGGGTCCAGTAGCCTGGGCACAGTAACAAGGAAAAGACTTTTCTCGTTGACCCAGAATCCTCTCTTTTTCTAAACTAAACCCCTTGGACAGCTTCTCCATTTGCAGATCTTCCCAGCCTGGGCCCATCCTGTGCCACACCCAGGAAGAGTGGCTCCGTTTTCAGTCTGGCAGAATCTCCCAAGGCACCTAAGTGGCAGGACCCATGGTTCTGGACCGGTAGGACAGCCAGCTTTACTGTCCTCAGGTCCGAGAGCTTGAGAAGCAGCTGGGACAGCGGCAGAACTCAGAGCTGCCTGTCAATTCAGACCCACGGAAGCTGACCGCACAAGAGAAAAACCTCCTGAGGATCCGCAGCCTGGAGAAGGACAAGCAGGAAAGCTGGGAGGTGAGGCGGGCCCAGCCACGGGCTCCAGCACACAGGGGTGGGAGATCATAGCACCTACCAGGATGTGGCCATCCCTTACAGGCCACAGACACTGGACTCTGGGCCAGCTCTGTAAATGGGCCTCACTTCCTGTTGTCAGCCAAGCTTGAGCTGCCTGAGTGGGGCCTCACTCTGGGTCCATTCAGTGAATGGCAGGTGGTGGGACCATGGCAATTTGAGGGGAGCTATATGTAAAACTTCCTGTAAAGGAACTGTGTCATGCAGGGCTGCAGAGTGTCACAGTCATTGTCCCTGTTGGGGTAAAATGCCTGGCAAAAGCAGTGTGAGGGAAGAAGAGTTGGTTTCAGCTTGCTGCTTGAGGTGAATCCTTCCTGTCAGGGCAGGGAAGGCATGGTGGCCAGAATAGGAAGCAGGGGAGATGAGTTGCTACTGTGTGGCTGGCTTCCTCCTTTTTCCCCCTTTTTATTGAGTCTGGGACCCCACCTGTGGGATGTACTACCCACATTCAGGGTGGGTCTTTTCTCCTCTGCAGACATCCTCACAGGCATACCCAGAGCATGTCTTCAAGGTGATTCCAAATCCAGACACCTTGACAGTGATGATGAGCCCTCACATTGGATCACACCCCCAATTGTGGAATATGATGGGGCCTGAAGGAAGTCCTACCAAGCTCTGAACAGGGTGGGTGGGCCAATGCTTCACCGCTGACTGGCACACAGAGGCTTCCAACAGTGAGGCCTTCCATACCCTCTCGCTGGGAAACTTCATCTGCCTGTGCCAGGGATGTCAGGGTCATCATAGGCTCCTCCAGCCTTCGGCACTGTCTGTCAGGATGAAGAGGGAAACAGGCCATCCGTAGGGCTGGGCACAGCTGAGTCCTGTTGAACCTTGTTTGCCAGCATAATCACCAAGGCACTTTTAATTTGTGAAGAGACATGGTCCCCTGACCTTCAGACGGTTAACATGGTTTGGGGGAAGGAGGTGGGATAGAAGGTGTGATAACCTGTCTTAGTTAGGATTTCTATTGCTGTGAAGAGACACCATGACCATGGCAACTCTTATAAAGGAAAACATTTATTTAGGGCTGGCTTACAGTTCAGAGGTTCAGTCCATTATCAGCACAGTAGGAAGCATGGTGGCACGCAGGCAGACATGGTGCTGGAGAAGGAGCTCAGAGTTACACTTTTGATCCACAGGCAACAGGAAGTGACCGTGATACACTGGCCAGGCTTGAGCTTCTGAGACCTCAAAACCCACCCCCTAATGACACACCTCCAACAAGGCCACACCTACTCCCACAAGGCCACACCTCCTAACAGTGCCACTCCCTATGGCCAAGCACTCAAACACATGGGTCTATGGGGGCCATATCTATTCAAACCAACACAGAGGCAGAGTGACAATCCTGAGATGTGACAAGGACTAACACCAAGGTAGGAAACTAACAGTGACAGGCTGGACACATGGGATGTGGAGGGTGACTCTGGGGGCCCAGAGACTGATGGACAGAAAAGGGAGATGTGGGAAGAATTTGAAGGACTTGCAGCCTGTGTGTAAGGAAGAGGGGCTGAGATTAGGGATGCTGGTGTGACCTGCTCCTAGCTGTGGTACACGCTCTCCATAGGAAGATGTTTAGAAAGAACACCTGAGTCACAGTGGCCATGGGAGGAGACAGGTCTCGGCCCATGTCCTCCTCTATCCAGGTGGTCCCAAGAGCCTGTGGAGCAACAGGTGAACAGTGTCCCATGCCTGCCCAGAGCTGGGTAAGGTCACCATGTCCTACCATTCTTCTTGTCTATGATCTTTAGCTAGGCTGACGTCTTTCCAGGGATGACAAATCCAAGAAGAAGCCATTTAGTGCCCCCACCCACCCCAGCGACGCTCTGTGAAGGACGGAGCTAGCCTGACGTCTGCCCCTGTGTGAGCACACACAGGACTTGTACTCTCCCAGCAGCCCCCCTCCTTCTCAGCGGCCACCTCTTTAGGGGTCCTCCTCTGACTGCTCCATGTCTGTCCCCACATCTCAGTCTGTCCTGTGCTTGGGTGTCACTCCCTAGGAACAGACGCTCTGCTTCACTTCTGCTTTGCCCCAGCAACCGTCACACCTGTCACAGCGCACATAGTAGGCCCACAGGAAATGTGAGAACAAGGAATGAGTGGCTCTGAAAATGTGTGAAGCATGTGAACATCCAGTTTATAGTAGACAGAGCCAGGAGCAGAGTGCAGAGGGGATTCCCATCTCCACACTAGGGACGTCGTCACAGAAGCCCTGCCTGCCTGCTGTGGGCCACTCCTGATGGGTTCAAATGGGAAGAGGCCAGTGGTCACATAAACAGCCAAGTAAAGTGGGTGTGAGTCATGTTGGTTAAGAAATGGGTTTGGGGCTGGAGAGATGGCTCAGAGGTTAAGAGCACTGGCTGTTCTTCCAAAGGTCCTGAGTTCAATTCCCAGCAACCACATGGTGGCTCACAATCATCTGTAATGAGATCTGGTGCCCTCTTCTGGCCTTCAGGGATATGTGCAAACAGAACACTGTATACATAATAAATATAAATCTTAAAAAAAACAAAAACAAAAAGAAATGGGTTTGATAGGCAGTGTGGCTAGTTCTAGTTATTTGCTATGTGCATGTGTGAGCATGTGTGCGTGCATGTGCATGTGTGTGCACATGTAGAGGCCAGAAGACAACTGCAGGAGTCATTTTCCACTCCTGTGTAGGTCCCAGAGATCAAGCTCAGGTTTTCATCTTCTGAGCCATCTTGCTGGTCCTAATGTTCATTTTATAAAACAGGAGAGAAGGTGTGCTGCATCCCTTACAGCTGTCTGCTGTGTGCCTGTCAGGAAGGGGGTGGGTCTGCCTGAGGTCAGGACCCCAGCTCCTTCACTTGTTTCTGTGGCCTTTAACAGCTGCTCCCAACCACAGTCTCCCCAGTGAGTGGCATCTGGGTTGCCCTGAGCTGTGGCAGAGGCTAGGCTCGGCTCTTTCTCTAATTACAGAAGCTGGCCAGTGAGCGGGACACTCTCCAGACAGAGCTGGAGGAGCTGAGAAGAAAGTTTGAGGGCATGCGGTCTCGCAACAAGGTGCTGTCCAGTGAGGTGAAGACCCTCAGAAGCCAGATGGTGACCCTGGTGGAGAAGGGCAGGCACGATGATGAGCTGATTGATGCCCTCATGGTATGCAGGCAGCGGGTGGTGAGGGCAGAGCCACCCCAGATGGGCTTCCTACAGGGAAGCCCCGCCCCTGGGATGCAGCAGCCCAGAGAGCCCGAGGGAGATGGCTGTGACCCTGGTACCCTTGTCTTGGGACCCCAGAGGAGATGGGACTCTATAATGGGGATGAGATAGGGTGCACTCACCTCTAGGAACAGAGGACTGCAGGGCAAGCCTGCCTCGGTGGCACCTCACTGACAGTCCTATGGCTGCCCTCTCCTGTCCTGTGTCACACTGTCCTTCCTCTTTGTCCCAAAGCAAGGAGCCTCTGTCCTTAGAGTCTGTTTGGGGACAAGTCCTAGGGACCAGGCCTCAAGTCCAGTGCTGACAGACTCCTCGCGAGGTGTGCTCGGTCTTCTGGTACCTGAAGAGCCACTTCTCCCATATGACCTTCTTGGCCCCAGTCTCCCAGGAGGGAATCTGAGGCCAGAAAGCATCAGAGTTGAGCCTTGAATCCCCAGGGAGGATATTCCTGGTTCTCAGTGGGATAGTTAGTGTCTCCCACGAGGGTGGTCTTGGCCTAGAGAAAGTCCGATGTCCGATGGCTCTGGGGAGGGAAGCCTACTGTCCCCGTCCTGTCCTTCCCTGCTCAAAGTAGCCCAAGCCTGCCTCTACCTACCCTCTGGCTTGGCCCTCAGGACCAGCTAAAGCAGCTGCAGGACATTCTGGGCAGCCTGAGTGTGCAGGAGGAATCGAGGCGCACATCCCAGCACCACCTGGACCAGAAGGTCAACAGTGAGGCCCAACGGAGCAACAGCCTTGTGGCCCAGCTGCGGGCCATGGTGGCTGAGCGCGAGGCCAAGGTGCGGCAGTTGGAGCTGGAGATTGGGCAACTCAGTGTGCAGGTGAGCAGGGTGCCACCCGGGCTGTCCCCGGGCTGGCCCGTCGGTGTCCAGGTAGTGCCTTCTACCTCTTTATATTCACGTCAGCACTGGCCTCGCTGCACCATCCTGGGTCCGTGTGGATCACTTGCTTCTAGCAGTCTTCTGTCTAATTCTGCACACACTTTTCCTTCCTAAAACACAAGCCCTTGTCTGTGGCCACACCACCCTGAACATGTATAATCTTGTCTAAAACACTAACCTGATCGTGTACTTGCTCAGCTTAGAAGCCACCCCTGGCTTCCTGTCACCCTCAACTTCATCAGGGTCAAGAGGATCCAGACTCCTACCAGCTTATCCTTTCCCACCTGCAGCTGTGGCCCTCACCTTGGTCCATGTGGTAGCTGTCATTCCAGCCAGTGTTCACACTGCAGTCAGTACGATGGCCACACTTCTTTTTAATTAAAAATCTTTTCAATCTTTGGCAATGTCATACATGTATAAAAGGAATTTGGGTGGTTTTCACAATCTCTGTTGCCCTCCCCCCTCCCGCCCCCACTCTGACTCCCACCCTGACCAAGTCCTTATTTCCAACAGGCCCTCCTGCTTTCATGTCTCCCGTGTGTGTGTGTGTGTGTGTGTGTGTGTGTGTGTGTGTGTGTGTGTGTGTGACCACTGAGTTAACGGGGGAATGTGGGGTTAGTAACTGGAGCAAGAGCAACTCTCCAGTGGCTACACCACTGGAGAAAATAAGCCCTCCCACCCCCAGCAACCACTGGCCGTCAGCAGTCCCTGAGAAGGGTGTGGTCTTACGGGACAGGCCGCATTTTGTGCAGGTCTTGTACAGGTCACCACAGCTCCTGAGTCATGAGCGCAACAGCCAAGTCATGTCTATGGGACGGTGTTTCATAGCTCTCTTCCCATCTTCCTTATGCTCCTCACGGTCCTCCTGTCCCTGTCCTTCAGTGTTCCCTGAGCCTTGGAGAGGGGAGCCCTCAGTCACTTGTTCTCAGCACTTGGACCAGTTGTGAGTCTGTAGTCCTCACTCACCACAGCAGCCACTTCTCTGACCACGGCTGAAGCCCACACTGATCTGTGGGTATCACACGCTTAGAAGGCAGTTTGATACCGCGTCCACTTAGCAAAAGAGCAGTAAATGATTCCTCCCTATGGTCTGTGACCTCCCTAGCCATGGGCTTCTGCCCATGTCTGCAGTATCAGGCATGAATTCCATCCTTGGGGCAGGCTTCAAATCCAACCAAAAATCTATTGGTGACCCCAGGAGAGTCATGCCGCTGTGGTGCCAGTGGGCACATCCTGCCAGGCAGGCTGGTATTGTATCACAGCTAGGTATGACCTTTGATGATTCTTCTCTCCCAGCAACCTCCACATCACCTCCTGGCACAATGAAAGCTAGCCAGCAGAGTGGACACTCCAGCTTTCTTCCAGCTTGATTTCTCTGTGTCCTACAACCACAGTGTGTAGTGACTTCAGTAGACTTACCATCTAGTGATGGTGGACAGCTAAGAGCAATGTTGACAGCCTGTGTTATTTTGGAGGCCTGTGAGGCCTCCCTGATTAACAGCTTGGAGGGAGGTGTCCCCTGCCTGGCATTGCAATTTTTATCTAGAACCTGTGGATTCTAGTAGCAGTATTGTCCACCCATGCAGGGTGCCTCTTTTACTCTTTTTTTTTTAATTGTCTATTTTAACTGGCTTGCAAAATAGTATTTTCCATGTGGGTTTTTCATACATCCTTGGTTCCAGTTACATCACCACCATCCTGTGCCCCATTCCTGCTTATACCACATTTCATTCAGATCTCAAGCACATGTTGCAGCTCTTACCCCCACTTGTCCTGTGTCTTCCTGTCACCCCTCACCTTTCTGCACTCTTGGCACTCAGCTCCTGGAATGGCCCCACACAGACCTTTCTTCATCCTCTCCCATTGCCTCATCCTGGCTAGCTGCCCCTTAGGATGCAAGGTCCATAAGCTCCTCCAGGAAGCCCTGGGCTCCCTGCTGGGTCTTGAGCCTCTCTTAGCTCCCCAGGTCTCCTCAAGCTAATCTTTCCTCACACTGTGTGTTCATGTTTTCCCCTGAACTTCCTTCAAAGGACACAGGCTACTGGGCCTTGGTGCCTGACGTGGGACCATGCTAAACTCCAGCAGATGACTGTCTGGGTCTGACCTGGGAGCCTGCCCAGGGCTGCTCATAGGTGCCTTCAGCTCTTAGGGGTCCCTCCTATTGGGTTGCCACTGGGAGAGAGGAGTTGGTGGCTTCTGGGAAAGGAGAAGTCTGGATCAGGCCCACAGGTCTCCCAGTGTGAGCAAAACCCCTTTAGACCTCCTAGATAACGGAGGTGTGTCCCAGAGCAGCCCTGCCCCATGTTTCCTTCTAGGGCCCCAGGTCCAGTCAGAGCTGCCTGAGCTCTGACCTCTCTCAGCTCAGACTGGCCCAGATTGTCTAGTCTGCTGTGTCCAGAGTAGCATGGCGCTGCAGGCTTGTCTGAGGGAGAGCTCTGGGCATGAGGCACGTCGGGGACATTGCCTTGCAGTCCTCAGTCCTGGTGTACTGGGGAGGAATGCATGCAGCACTCTAGCATCATCACCTCCAGTCCTGTTCCTGGTACCCGAAAAAGGACAGATTCTATCTCAAGGTCGCCAGCTAGGTGGGAGCCAAGCTCCACTCACCAGATGCAATTGCAAATTCCAGTTTTCTCAGAATTCCTGGGGACATGCCATGCCAAGCTGTTAGAAGCCACACTCACTTCTGTCCTTCGATGGTAGCCCAACCTCCTGCTAAGGATCTTCTGGTACACACAAGAGGAACAGGCCAAAAGAAGGAGGAGTCTGGGAAGCCCCACTTCCACACAGCCACTGCCCTCCAGGCATCTGAAGTCCAGGTGTGAGGACTGAGAATGGCCCTGACCTCTAGACTAGTGTGTGGGGCCACCTGACCAGGACAGACGTCAGCTCCGACCTCTGTGGCTCTGGCCCACACTGTCCTCATCCCTCCCTGTGACCCTGGCCTGCACTGGTCTCACTCTGGAGCCCCCATCTGAACAGAGTCATTGTGAGAGGTCATTGTTATGCAGGCAGGGCCTTCACTGCCCAGGCCAGCATTCACCCTGAAGAGAACCTTCTTTCATACCCCTGAAGCTGGGAACCAGCCAAGGCACCCTCCTGCCTTCCCCGGGCCCTGCACCAAAGCCCTGACATCCAACCCCACATCTGTTCCCTGCAGTATCTTCACAGTAAAGGAGGGGGTGAGGGGGCAAGCCCCACCCATGCCAGGTTCCCTGAGGACCAGACCCTGATAACCAACTCTCCGGCCTCGGCAGGCGATCACGTCGGCAGGCTAGGATCCTCTCGGTAAGGAAAACACAGGATGGAGGGATTGTGTGCGACTGCGTGTTATTCAGAGAAATGGTGTCTCCCTGCTTCCTCTTATGGAGAGCCCCTGGGTGCAATTTTGTTTTGTTTTATTTATTTTGAGACAGAATTATATAGCCCTGGCTGGCCTGGAACTCAATATGTAAATCAGGCTGGCCTTGAACTCACAGAAGTTTTTGTTTTTGACGCAGGGTCTCAAGTATCCCAGGCAGGCCTTGAACTTGAGATGTAGCCAAGAATGACTCTGAACTCCTGATCCTCCTGTCTCTGCCTCTCCACTGCTACGGTTACAGATGTGTGCCACACGACCCAGTTTGTGCAATACTGAGGACCAAAGTAGAGTCACACATACACACACCCACACACCACAAACATCCACATACCACGTACATATACACACACACACACCACAGCACACACACATACACCACAAGCACACCCCACATACCATACACAATACACACCACACACACATACACATATGACAATGTTTGGCTGCCCTGCTGCTTTCCCATCTGAAACCCTCTCCTATTCTACTGGTTCCTCATTTCAGGAAGGAGCCGTCAGCTCTGGGTTTCATCACTTCAGGAACTTGCTGGTGGCCCCTTGTCCAGCCTCCCGCACCAGCCTCAGAGCACACTTATTCCTACATCTCTCAGACTCACTGCTGTTGGATTGCCTGGATTGTCTGTTTTATCTTGAACAAGGAAGGGCAGCCAATCCACAGGGAAACCGTGAGGCCCACACGGCCTCCTCCACCAGCTCCCTCCATCCCTGTCCACTGTGAGGTCCAGCAGTGCCCACTCTTTCCCTGCTGATGTCCCCTTGTGCCTTCACACAGCTCTGTGACCAGCCTGGGCCACACACTGGTGGAATCTGCTCTCACGCGGCCATCCCTGCCTAGTCCCCATGGGACCTCACCCAGGTAGGAGTGTAGAATCCCTTAGCTTGGGAAGCTTACCACCTTTCCTTGCTCAGCATCCTCAGCTCATTAAAGGATGGAGGATTGAGGCCAGGCAAAGCCAAGCATTCATCAAGGGTTACATAAGGCCAGAGAGGCCTGAGGCGGGGCCACCTGTTAGAGTAAACAGCTTCAGAGCAGGACCTTGGCCCTGACAGCCTTCTGGGCCTCTCTCCTGCTACGAGGGAGTCAGCACAAGGTGCCTGCCTGCCTGGCCCCACCCTCCACAGCCTTCTCTAGGGGGAGCACCTCACCTCGTGTGGGTCCCCACCCTAAGTCACTGATAGCCCCTCAGCTCTCCAGCCCCCTCTTTGTGGATAAAGCCAGACTCAAGGCTTCAATGCACCCTTTGTTCTTTTTGTGGGCTCATAGACAAAGGATGGTTTGTCCTGCTTCTGAGTCCTACCCACTGTCCACTGGAGACTCCTGCTGTCAGCAGACCCCACCCCTTCATGCAGGTCAGCTCAGGATCCAGGCAAGGCCTCAAGTGGGCCCACTCTCACTTGAGGTTTATCGTGTGGCTATAAAGCAAGTTGGTCTGTCTCTGGCCACTGTCTCCCATGAAGTACCTGTGGCACTTCAGATCAGACATTAACTATCACAGGGACCATCAGCCAAGGCAAGCCACTTGACACTGGCGGGGAACCAGGCCCCAGAAGCCATCTCCTGGGCCCCTGGGCCTCCATAGGGATTGATAGAGGTACCAATGCCACTAGCAGCATAGTGGGCCAAGTGACCTAGCCGAACCAGGTATGGTGGCTGGGTTTCCCCCCACTCTGGCCATCCCAGAACCTCTGAATGTCACAGTCCCTCCTGCCGTTGTATGAGGATATTTATGTCTTCAAACATAACATGACCTCTGCCCTCTGCCCTCCACTCTGGCCCCAGGTTCTTGGACTCCCCAGAACAGAAAGGCTGGCAGGCACAAGCTGCAGAAATGAAGGCCCTCTGGCAAGCTGCCGAGGTGGAGCGAGACCGCCTCAATGAGTTTGTCACCGTCCTGCAGAAGCGGTAACACATAGCACCCTACCAGCTCGCTTAGGCCTGTGTGGGTCGGGACTGGGCTCTCTCAACACACATGCCCCTCCAGGGCCCACAACTCTGGCTTCTGACATCACTGTAGAACTTATTCTCGGGGACAGCCCTGTTTTCGGGGCACCCAGAGGATCTGTCCCATGGTAACTTTGGGGGACTGGCTCTGTAGTAAATAGTCAGACTTAATTCAGGGGGTGATTAAGCTCTGTGATGTGTAGCCATTCTATCAGAGCTGCCAGAGGGTCTCATGGGAAAAAGTTACAGCTTAGCCTGATGCTGGCAGTTGCTAGGAACAGGTGAGAAACTGAGGTTTCTAAGAGGCAAAAAGGGAGTGTGCAGCTGAGGTGCCCAGCAAGTCCAGCTGCCTCCAGAGGGTTGCTGACAGACTCCACTCAATCAATCAGTGCCCCTGCTCAAATGGCCTGTCTGGCAATAACTGAAGGTACCCAGGCCAGCACATGGGCCAGCCATGTGACTTCCTAAAAACTATAAAGGACATCACCAAGCTCCTGTCCTCACAGCAGTATCATGTATCAGTCAGGGCTCTTTGATGACAGATAATAGAAACCAGTTCTGCCTGAGCTCAGTGGAAAGGAGACCTGGAAAGTACTGGAAAATGCAGAAGAGCAGAGCAGAAGGGCCTAAGTAGGTGCAGGGGTCTCGATAGCATGTTTTCTGGGAGGTCTAGCTCCTTGTCCACTCTCAAGAGAGGGCAGCCAGATTGGTGGTACCTCCAGGTACTCATAGAATTTGGGGAGGGGCTTGCTTCGAAGGGAGCCAGGGTGGCCAGTCCAGAAGCAGTGATGAGCTGCATGCAGGTTCTCAGGGACTGAGAACATCTACTGTCTCTATGATTGCGTTCAGTGGCTAGTACTAATGGCTGTTGAAAGGCAGCTGTGTCCTCCGTCTGGGGCTTTGGCCCCCATGTCACCAAATTATGTCTGTGATTGGAGGGTGACCTGGTTTACTGTAGCTGCCGAACAGGCCATCCTGACTCAGGGGCTTCAGGTGCAATGGTTGGTGCTCTGCACCTCACTGGGAACTGCTCACATGATGGCAGCTGGGGCACTCCCATGGCCTCCCTCCGTCACCAGTGGAGCAGGGTGACTCATGCCCCTCCCCGTTACCTTCTCCTCCACCTGAAGTGGCCTTTCCCAGGGCCGTCCCACACATGGCTGGGCCTAGAGTGGGACAGGTAGTCGCTGTGAGTCACATGTACCTCTGTTGGAGACCCCCGTGTTCACTCTGCTGCCCTGTGTCATTTGGGGGCTCTGTGAGACTGTCCTCAGGCTCGTCAGCCGAGATACGTTATCTTCACTTCCTGAGCATCATCCCAGAGCCTGAGAACTTCCCCAGCACTTAGGCCTGGCCTTCTTCCCGCCGAGTTTGTCTCCCCTGCGCCCTGTCCGTGCCTAGTTCCCAACCTCTGTTGTCCTGAGGAAGTTCCTGTGCTCAGCTGGGATCCCCTTACCCCAGGGTACAGTCTGGAAGGGTCCTGGCTGGCACACTCTGTGGAACGCTGGGTGAGCCAACCTTACCTGTTAATAATTCCTTCTTTCTTCAGGCTTGGACCCAGCATTTGAGAAATAAGTTATCTCTTAGATTTTAATCCATTTCTCTCCTTTTAAAAGAATTTTGGTTTTTATCTATTTAATTGTGTGTGCATGTACATGTGCAGGAGTGTGTGTGTGTGTGTTTTGTGTGTGTGTGTGTGTGTGTGTGTGTGTGTGTGTGTGTGTGTGTGTGCAGGTGAGAGCACCTGTGCCAGCACAGGCATGTAGAGGGTTAGAGGCGGCTTTCCTTCCACCATGTAGATTTGGGGACCTGTTTGAGGTTGTAAGGTTTGGCAGCCTATGCCTTTACCTGCTGGGCCATCTCAATGGCCCCGTTTTTCTCCTTCTTTACAGTGAGAGGGGAGGGGCTTCCCCCATGCAAAAGTCGCTAAACACGTCTCTCTCTCTCTCTCTCTCTCTCTCTCTCTCTCTCTCTCTGAGTGGGTGTGTTGTTGTTGTTGTTGTTGTTGTTGTTTTTCTGAGACAAGGTTTCTCTGTGTAGTCTGGCTATCCTGGAACTCCGTGTGTAGCCCAGGCTGGCCTCGAACTCACAGAGATCCGCCTGCCTCTGCCTCCCGAGTGCTGGGATCAAACACACCTGCCACCACCGCCCGTCTGACATGCCTCTTTTTAAAACAATGTAGTTGGTTTTGGTGTTGTATTTTGTTTTGTGATAACAGCTCAGATATAGCCCAGGCTGGCCTTGAACTCGTGACCCACCTACCTCTGCCTCATTCCTCCTGCCCCACACCATTGGGTATTTGCTGTGTCCCCACTTTTCCTATTTGCTATGATTGGTCTCTGTGCTTTTCCTCACTTCTTGCCCCTCATGCAGGATTAGCTGAGTTTTATCCCTTTCTTCACTCTAGGCCAGGACTGTGACGTAACACAAATCTCCCTCGACAGTCACCTCTGGATTTCACTCTGCCTCTCACAACCTGATGTTTCTCTCCTGCAAGTGAGTGTTCGAGCCTGAGTTCATGGCCTCTTGCCTCTCAGGAGTATGCACTCTAGTCAGTGTAGCCATGGACATGTTGGCTCTCTGAGTCTGTTTTTAAAATATTTTATGGTGCCTTTCTCTTGAATGAGAATATAAGAGAAATTTAAGGCATAGGACTCTAAACAGATGGGACTACCATGAAACTTATTTCAGTAACTGTATTTTGTTGCTGCTGGTGGTGTTTAAAATGTGTTTTTGTTTGGTTGGGTTTTTTTTTTTTTCCTTTTGGCCCAGGCTGGCCTCAGATTCACTATACAGGGGAGGCCGATCTTCAACTCCTGGTCTCCCCGCCCCCCAGTGGCATTCCTTCTTGCTTGCTTTTTTTGTTGTTGTTGTTTTTAATAATATTAAGCTTACTTAGTTCTTTCAAAGTTGTTCCATTTATTGTTTATAGTTTTTCAGTGTGTGTGTGTGTGGGGGGGCTGTCATTTGTCTGGGGACAGGGTGTGTAGCATTAACTTCTAATCCCAGAGCTGGTAAGGATGTCTGAGGCTTGCTGGCAGGCAGCTGAGTCTAGTTGCTCACTTTCAGACCAGTGAGAAACCCTGTCTTGAAAAAGAGGTGGTGGTGCCTGAGGATGGACAAGGCTGACCCCTGGGCCCTACACGGGTGTGCACATACACACATATACACACAAACCCTACACACAAATGCACATGCGCTCTGGGAAACTCACACCATGCTTTGCCATTTCCCCACAATGCCAGCTATCTATTTAAGTCTGAGTGTAAGTAGAACCCACAGTTAACAGAACACGCACATTCCTGAAAAATCGGAGTGGAAAGGAAAGCCCCTCTGTCCTCACGTGATTCAGCCTTATTCCTGTTTCCACTCCATGAGCAGAGTGACAGGAGCCTTGGATTTGTTTGTTTTTAAATTGTTAATTTGTTATAAATATTTAAATTGCACCATACATTATGCATAATCTCTGCTTATTCCACTGACTAATACCCCATGGATCTTCTCTCCTCCTCAAGGTGTATTCTTTTCACAGTTGCAGAGTTAATCACGTGACTTCCCTAATTTATTTAACATTCCTCTATTTGAGTTACTGGTTTCTAGTTTGCAAATACTTCCTTGTGTTAGGATGTTTATTTCTGTCCTTGTTTTACTTTGACATTTTTGTTTTGTCCGTCTGTTTTTGAGACAGGGCCTCACTATGCAGTCCTGGATAGCCTAGAGTTCGTGATGTAGACCATGCTGGCCTCAGATTCATAGAGATCCTTCTCCCTGCCTTGAGTGCTGTGGTTAAAGGTGTGTGCCACCAAACCCAGAGGTGGCATTTTGTTTTGCTTTGCTATGGTGCTGGAGATGAACCCAGGGCCTTGAACTTGGTGGGCAGCTACACCCCAGCCTCTAGGAACATTCAAGATTGTGAATAGGGGGTGACTTTTACCTGTGTGTCTTCATCCTCCACCGCATGCTCACAGCCTTCCAGACAGTCCTGATGCTGGTGGTGCTGAGTCGCCTAATGCCAGAAGGCTGTGTTTTACCATCCCAGTGGGTTTGAAGTTGTATCTCAGTGTGGTTCTGGTTTCCCCAGCAATGACAGATACTGAATGTTTCATGTGCTAGTGGTAATTAATATATCTTCTTGGAGGTATAGAATTTTTTGCCTGCTTTTTAATGGGGTTGTTTGTCTTGAATCCTGCTGCTGTTAAATTGAAGACATTCCTTTCTTTCCCTGGAATTCTTGTACTGTTTGAAGACAGCAAGTCTGTAGTGACTTATTATTGAATCATAAGAAACTGACTCATTTGAGCTTTCTAGATGGCTCAACAATAACGGCTCAGGGTTTTCCCATCCTACACACACACACACACACACACACACACACACACACACACACACACACGCATACATGCGCGCACACACACGCACACTCACGCACACACACGCACACACATACACACACACACACACACACACACACACACACACACACACACACACACGGCCCAGTACATTGCTGTTCCCCAGTGGATCTGCCAACCCCGGGAACAGTGTGGGCCCTCATGTGGAATCCTCAATGGGGATATTGGTGCAGCCACAGACAGTCCCTGTTCACAAAGTAGCTCTTCCTGTCACATAATGCCTCCACCTTCCTTACATGCCTCAGTTTCTTAATGGAATCTACCCCATTCTTACGTGGGCTTGTGTCATAAGAAAGTCCTGTGAAGGCCATTCTAGATGACTGTAGAGGCCAGAAGTGCTGTGGACAGGAGGACATACATGTCCTTCTCCCCACACAGGCTCAGTAGGAAGTATGTGAGTCCTCATGGGTAGGTTTTTAGGGAGGCTGAGTTTGGAGCATGGGGTATCAGTCCCAAACACCATCACTACTCAGATGTGCATGGCTGTAGCCACCTTCCGGTGCCAGCAGGCTGTCTGGGTGACATCCCCACAGGGCAGGGCTTTGGTCTTACTGCAAGCCTCTACTGACAAAGATAGGGACCAGAACGATCTTGATACTACTGCTAACAGCATCCAGACTAAGCTGTACATCATTTTCAGATCTTGACCCTCACTCACCCCATCCTGTTGTTCAGGACCTCAGTTCTAGCGTGTGCGGATAGGAACAGACAGGACCTTAGTCCTAGCGTGTGCAGATAGGAACAGGGAGGATCTCAGTTCTAGCGTGTGCAGATAGGAACAGGCAGGCCTGCTGGTGCCACTGATTAGAGACTTGACTCTTGTCATTGTATTGTCTGTGTTCTCATGGCTCTGTCCTGGTTTCACTAACCCCATGACCTGCAGAATAGCCGTGTTTGTGTGGGTGGTTACAGTAGGGATGCTCGGCAGAGCCAATGGAGATGGTTTAGGTCTGTATCAGACAATGCAACACCCACTAACCACAGGGACCTTTCCAAAACCCTTGTGTTGCTGGTGTGCCTGAGGAGCTGGGGAGCCTGTTTTAATCCCACTGACTTTATGGCTACTTGTGGGTACTAGGCACAGCTACCATCGCGGGCAGGGCAGCTCAGCTCAGCTCAACCATGCTGGGGCGTGAGCACAGCCCCACTCCTCCATCCATCATCTCCTTTGACCTCTGAGCTGCTGTGTATTGTGCCTTTGAAGATAAACATTCAAGAAACATGCTCCTCGTGGCTGCCTACTGCTTATATCAGCCTAGTATACTGTTCGGTCAGGTTGCCCTTCCAATCCTTTGTTGTCTCCTCACCAATGCAGAAAGATCTTGCAGTTCCCTGCTGTCCACTGTGGACTTCCGGCTGCAGCTGTCATCTGCCGCTATTTCTGTAACCTTTTGCTCAGGTTAGGTCTCAGAGATTCTTGACCTTCTGAGTTTTTATTGCCACAGAAATTCAAAGTGCTTTATGGAGCCACAGCAAGGCCCACAGAGCAAGCTTCCATGTGAAATAATCATAGCAGGGTCTTCAAGGGCCTTCAGTTTGCAGCAGGCAAAGAAAGCAATGTAAGAAGCATATGACACTCACTAAGTCCAGGGAAACAGGGAAGTAAGGATATGTCATTGCCTCTGTGTCTGAAGAGCCATCCAAATATGCCCCATAGAAGGCAGGATATGGTGTCTCTTCCTGTAAATACTTTGTAGTAAGTGCGTCATGGGCCCTAAAACCAGATTACTCTTGGTAATCATTCAGCCCATAAAAGCAGAGAAATTTTCCTACCTGGAGCCAGTCAAGGGAGCTGTGGGGCTGAATCAGGCCAGAGCAGTTCAGAGCCAGCTTTGAGGATGGAGTGAAGCCAGCAGGAGGCAGGGAGGTGGCTCTGGGTGGGCTTGGGAGGGGATTCTCCCCCACCAGGGATTCTAGATAGGAGCCTGGGTCAGCTGATGCTTGGATTTCAACCTGTGGTGCCTGGAGTCTGCTGGCTTCAGATGCACAGAGCCATGAGACACTGACTTTGTGTTGTCTTCAAGCACTTTTGTGCTAATTTTGCTTATTAACTTGTGCTGTTTTGTGGTGGGTGTGTTACTGTAGCAATAGAAACAGACAAACTACCTAGTATCGACTCGGCTGAGAGGAGGAGAGTGACTGTGTGTGACAGGAGATAGTGAAATTAAATGAAATCCTCATTCAGCAGCATAGGAAGCTGAGACCTGCTCCTGAGCATCTGTATGCTGTGGCAGAAAATTCTAGAAGCAGCAGCAAAATTCTAGAAGCACCAGAGAGGTGGATGCTCCGAGGGCAGGAGTTGGGAGCAAAGGGGTAGGACACCTGCCAGGTTTGCGTCCTAAGCCTCAGAGAGTTTGAAATGCCTGTTCTGATGTTACTGCCATGAGCATCAAGACAAGGGAGGTGAGCCACCCCCTCTACAGTGTGTCCACCGCTGGGGGATCCTAGGATCGCACAGGGCAGCACCTGCCTGCAGGGTGTGAAGCTTTGTCTCTTGGCCAGGGTGGAGGAGAGTAGCGGCAAGCTGCTGGAAGCCGAGCAGAGGCTGCAGGAGGAGCGGCAGCGTGCTGTCCTGCTGGAACAGCACCTGGAGAAGATGCGCCTGGAGCCCTCCAGGACCTCGGTGTCGCAGAAAACTGCTAAGAGCAAGCCAGGTAGGAGCCTGGTGGGTGACACAGCCTTAGGAGCAGGCAGGCTCCTGTGCTCTTCATCAGTGAGTGTTGGGAGCTCTGCCTGCCCCTGCTGTGGGGGGTTTCTTGTCCCATGCCCTGTCCTGGCTCCCAGAGACTCGGGGCCCAATGGGAGCCATCTAGGAGCCTTAGCTTGAAATGGCAGTACCCCTGCATGCCCTTGGCCACTACTCCGTATGCCACCTTCCAGAGCCTTTGCTTGGCCCTTGTCTGAGCCTAATGGAGCCCTGATCAAAGCTGATCTCAGGCAGAATTGGTCTGCTGGGCCAACCACAGTGGGAGAGCGTAACACTAAGGCTTCTGTAAGAAGGACTCAGGTGGATTTTCCATGGCTAGGAGGCCTAAGTCCCTTTCTTGGGTGCCACGTCTCCTTGCATAGGCAGCTTCTGTCTTATAGTACAAGATGTCTGAAGAGCCCATGTGTCTTCTGCCACTCACTGGCCCATTGGGGAGCACAGCTCTTCTACCCTCCCACCTGCCCTGGAGGGCAGGTGAGAACAGGTGAGGGGAAGGGAGGAGGTCAAGTGCACAGGGACTAGCAAGTACCAAACAGCAGTGGAAACCCACTCTGCTCAGCTGGAAGGAACAGCAAAGAGACCCGAGATGAGTGGCAGTGGGGTGACACAGGAGGAGTCACTGGGGTTCTCAGTGACCAGTCACACAGGCACTGAAGACAAAGAATCATCTGTCCTCCCAGTGCTAGGGAAGCCAGCTCAGAGACTTCCATGGTTTACCCAAGGCCACACAGCAGGGGTGAAGCCCAGTTCTGCTAAGGCTGATTTCCTGAGGCCTTTTAGTACAGGATATTTTGATCCCCTGACATGTCACCCAAGGTCACAAATGGCTTTGTTGTCTTTCTCTGAGCACTCTGGCCACTGAGCCTAGTCACCCATAGCTTCCTAATATAAAGCAGCTAGCCTGAATGGAAACCAGTAGAGGGACCAGAATTGGAGGGGAGGGGTGTGTCAGAAATGTAACAGCCTAGGCTTGGGCTCAGACCTGAGGCCAGTACTAAGGTCCCACTGTCTACTCTTGGTGCAAGCAAGTGACAGAAATGTGAATAGCCAGGCGAGTACCACCTTGGCACAGGCAGGCAGAGCCAGGGCTGTGGCAGAGGGCAGAGCCAGGTTTGGGGGTATGGAGAGCCATCAGGGAGGCCTTCTAAAGAGAGGCAGCTCTATCCTGCACCCTGTAGGAGATGTGATGTCTCCACTCTCCATAAGCTGGAAAACAGGAAGTGGGCATGGCAGGGAGGGAGAGCTCGTACAATTCTGGCCTCACTACAGAAGGTGGCTGCTGCCTCTCCACAGGGCCACCTGCCACCGGTGCCAAGCACAACCCAACTGGGAGCGCCAAGAAAGACTCGTCCTCCACTCAGCTCTCCGATATGCCCATGGAATCCCAGATAGAGGAGCTGACCGCCAGGTGCTTCCTGCCCAGCCTTCCAGAAAGGGTAGAGACGCCCATAAGGAGGCTTCATGGGCAGAGGGACCATGTCCCTCTCCCTTGCACCCAGGGCCTCTACTTGTCCAGAAGGATGGTTTTGCTAGGACTAGGCTTGGGGGGCTCCACAGTTCCCTGATGACCCCAGGGTCCCAAGAGAACCTGTATCAATACTGGGCTGTGCCCCCACTTTCCCCAGCAGTTACCCGTTAAAGAGGAACTGAGGGGGCAAGGGTGTATCCCAGTCAGTAGAGGGCTGGCACAGCATTCACAAAGCCCTGGGTTCAGTCCCAGTGTTGTGTACATAGGGCATGGTCGTACACACCTGTAATCCCAATGCTCTAGCAATGGTAGGGGCAGAATCATCAGTTCAAGCTTACCCCTGGCTACTTACTGAGCTTGAGTCCAGCCTTGGATACATATGAGCTTATCTAAAAAAAGGGGGGTGGGTGGGAAAAACAAAACAGGATAATGAGGGGTGGATAGGAATCGTAGCTGAGGCTACTTGGAGCTTCTGGGTCAGTACTGTGGGTGGGCCCAGAAAAAGATCCATTTGGTGTATGTCTCTTGGGGGTCCAGAGAGGAAGGGGCAAATGGAAGGGAATCCTAAGCCTGCACGCCAGCCTTTTCTCCAGGCCCTGGGCCCCAGAACATCCACTGGCTCTGTGCATTCAACCCCATCTCCCTCTGTCCAGGCTGGCCATCCAGATGGAAGAGAACGGAATCCTGAGAGATGCCCTGGGCAGTGCCCTGCGTGGGAAGGAGGAGGACTTCCGCATGTACCACCAGACCCTGGGCCAGGTGAAGGGGGTCTTCTTGCAGGCACTGCGGCAGCAGAAAGCCAGCAAGCAGTAGGACAGGGCTGCTCCCTCAGCTCCTGGAGGGCAGGGCCTTAGAAGACTGACCCCACTGGTGCAGGCTCCGCCCACGAGACTCCTCTCTGAGGCCACTTGGAATACCAGCTGAGCTCAGACCTGCTCAGCAGGCAGGCTGAGGCTGAGGACGCCTGGGCCAAGGAGGAGGCTGGCCAGCCCCAGCAGAGCGTTTCTTTCAGCAGATCCTGTCCCTGGGTTGCTGTAGGCTCTCCACACATAGATGAGCCACTTGGTGCTTCTAATGGAGGCGTCAACCTGGAACCATCCAGACCTCCCCATAATCCCTCACTTGGGGCCTCGTATCCACTTGGCCACCCCTCCGCTGCGCCCAGCCTCTCTGTGGACTTATGCCCAGGGCGAAGCCTTGCACTTGGCATAACAAGGCTACTTTCACAGTCACTACAGCTCTGGTTGAGTATGTTCCTGCCTCTGCTGGGGGGAACCTGGTCTTCAGTAGGTAGGGCTTTACAGTTGTGGTCACAGACTTTCAAATAGAAGCTGAGCCCATCGGTCATTCTGGTGGTCCTGACTCTGAAGCCAGGGTCCCCAGCTGAGTGAATGCCCAGAGCTCTGGCTTGCCCCAAGGTTGCACAGCTCCACCCCTAATGACTCCCGAGGTACAAGTGCTAGAGTCAGAAGGCCATCCAGGCAGAGCTGGATTGTAGGGTGGACAGGTGAGGCAGTGGGTCTTGATACATGAATAGGGATGCTACAGGAGGGATCCAGGACACCCTCATCTCAGTGACTGTAACTATCTCATGGTCACCCATAGCCATACCACAGCCACAGCCACAACAGCTGCACATGTTCTTATACAGGCACACAAGCAGCTCCACGCAGAGGCACTGAGAAAGGGGGTAGACACACTCCCTCCCATGAAACACAACCATGTATATAGCTTGTACAAGACACACTGTGGCAATGTCCTCCCTGGAAAGCCTGCGTTTCCTGAGACCCTGTGTGCTCAGCTCATTCTTAAGGGTCTGTGGAAAAATCCATGCTGCCCAGTGCACCCTGGACCTCCTGGATAACAGGACTCTGGGATCTCACAGCAAGATGCAGCTGACTGAGGCCATTAGGATGAAGTGGTGATTTGGATACAGTCCTGAGAGTCTTGGGGAGGAAGTGTGTCCCCAGCTCCTTGTGACAAGCAGTGGGCAGAGAAGAGAGTCGACAGGAAAGCTTTGCTGGGAGGAGACGTGTCCATAAGAAGAAGGGGAGTCAGGGCCGCCTTCTTCAGGCACTAGGGAGCCCTGAGAGGAATCCCCTGTGGGTTTCTGGGGATGTGGGTGCCATGCCTGAGCAGAACTTCTGGGAGTGAGCAGGCAAGGACCAACCAGCCTCCCTCAGAGGCATGCAGGTAGGACCGGACCCTGTCTGGCTACTGCAGCGGTCTGTTGTGACCCCTAGCCTGGGCTGAGCTGAAGGAAGGAGCCCTGGCTTGTGCAGCCTGAGCCTTAGCTGGGAGCCAGGCAGGTCTGCATCCCACCCGACAACCTCCATGTCTTCATCTGTGAAATGGAACAGTAGCTAGAAACCTTGTTCAGAGGGCCATTCATAAGATAAGACAGCCAGCTGATGACTCTGTGCAAGGACAAGTGTCCGTGGACTGGTCTCACCCCATGCCTATGGAAGAGTGGGAGGGGGCAAATCCTGCCACCAGGTGCTACAGTGAGTCCCGTTTGTACCCTGTGGGGTGAGCTAGCATCGTACAGGTTGGACTGCGTGGGCAGTCCTAAAATATGCAAGCTCCTGCAGGCACTGGATTTAAAGGCCAGTGTGTATAGTTTATAAAAGCTCCAGGCAACCTTGAACAATTTGCTTGGGGCTTTGTGCCAGGTCCCATCCCCCACCTCTGCTGGCTGAGGTGGACCAGATTCCCAGTGTCCCTCACTGTAGCTCCTTCAGCACTCACTGAGGTAGAACTTAAGTGTGTGTAGAGCAGCAGCTAGCACACAGCAAGCACTCAGTTAAGGCCCACTCTTTGCAGTCTCCCTGTTCCATCAATACACACTTCCTGAGCAGCATCCTCAGGTGCTGAGGTGAGGCAGATGAGCTCCCTGGGTACCAAGAATTCCCAGGCCAGGTGGGGTGACAGGCTCCCAGTGAGTTTCTGTACACAACATCAAGTAGTCGTTGCCTTGCTAGGCCTGGGAAGGGCCTGAGGTGGGGAAGAGGTTGTGATGGGGCAGGTAGAGAGAAGGCTGTAGACAGGCATCCTCCCCAACCCCAGCAGAGCTTTTAGGTAAAAGGCCCGGGGGGGAGCAGACAGAAGCACTGAGGGAAGGTGGGGTTGTCAAGGGATGAAGGACTTGGTCTTGAGGGCTCACTCAACTAGGTCAGGTGGGGAGGAGGGCAGCTTGGTCTGTCTACATTAGTACCTCCCTGGGTACAACCTGTCCCTGTGGCTCCTGAGGATGATCACTCCATCCCTCAGCAGGTGGGCCAGGTAAGAAGGGAGGGCGCAGGTGCCTTGGAAGAGTAAAGAGCAAAGAAGCTGGTGACCATAGGGGAGGGCCCCTGGCCACCCCCAGGAAGTGCCATGGGTCTGAAGCCCAGGTTCCTGCTCTGATGGGCACATCCAGTTCGTCATGGAAGTGGTTGGGCCACTGTCCCTATGGGGCCCTCTGGGACATAGCGGCTGAACAAGGCTGCAAGCTTGGTCTGGCTGGCCCAACAACCTCTACTGTCCGGGACAGGGTGGTCTCCAGTGGAGTGTCCAAAAGCACCCTGTCTCACATCCTCGAGTCTCAGTGAGCCAACAGCTGGCCCTCAGCATAGGGCAGTTTCCTGTCACCCCCTCCACATGCCAGTGAGCCTTGCCACATGCAGTCTTTCCTGCCATCCCGGAGCCTCCATATATATACACGGCTCACATCACGCTCACATGCCACACAGCATGTGTATAACTGTATCACACCCAGATGCCACCCAGCACACATGCTCATGCACATCCAGGACACGTGGCCTACACTTTCACCTTAAGAAGCAGCACACAAAGGCTGAGTTGAAGAGTCTCTGAGGTTTGGAAAAATTGGGGTCCCTCTCCACAACTTTCCCAGGGACCCTTGATGCATCAGGAAGTAGCTCTCAGTCCTGTGGGTCTCAGCCCAGTGAGCTTCCTGTCCCTTGTTTGTTGGGCCAGTGTCCCACCCTACAGCCCCTGGCACAGGTGGAGGGACTCACCTAGTCTCCACCCCTCTGCCTTCCCACAAGCCACACCCCTACATGCTGCAGTATCAGGGTCACCAGGAGTGGGCCTCTGCAGGATGGGCCCTGCTTCCGCATCTGGCTACCTAGCACCTCTATGGGCAATGAGTTGTGCACATGGATGGAGCCACTGGATCCCCAGGAGCACAGAGAGCCCATGCATAGTGTACCCACTTAAATAAAAACTGGAGACCCAAAGCAGTGGCTTCAACCCTCCAGCCCTCTTGGCCTCTCCTGAGGGCACCATGTTGTGTGACACTTCCTGGGGAGATGTCTACTCATTCCAGATAGGGAATGGACCAAAGTGAGGGCACCACCAAAGTCCAACTTGGTGAACCAATGCATTCTATTGGGGTTGTGTCTAGTAGTGTAGGTGAGGGGTCACTTAGAGGAGCAGGAATGACTCACAGACAGCTGCATCGCCAAATCCCACCCTAGCATGGTGACAACCCACAGAAGCTGAAAACCTGGAGCACGTACTGCACAGCCTGCAGGCAGCTCAGCAGGTTGGAGTGTCCCTCCCAGGCATCCTGATGGTTTTGAGGGTGTCTCGGCAGTCCTTGCTATTTTCATAAGTTGGGGAGGGAGGGACCTAGTGTTGTCTGGTCAGCTTCAAGGACTTGCTGAAGCTTCTGAGTTGTTTGCTTCCTCAGTGTAAGGAGCCTCCCTGAAGGATGGGACGTTTCATCTCAGAGGAGACTGCTATACAACACACCAAGTGCATGGTCCACCCATGGTGGTCTCACCTGTCTGGGGTGGATGGACTGAGTTCTCGCCATGATGCAGTCTCTTCCAGAAGTTTCTGGAGGTGATCCTAACCACTGTCCACCTTATTCCTCAGTTTTCTCTTCCACCTGCTGGCAGTGGTCCTTGTGGATTGTGGGGACATTAAAAAGAATTTCTCTGCATGCATCCTGGCTATTATTTACTATCCCTGATAGCCACTGATTGTGCCACAACATGCTACCCTGGTGTCACCCACGCCTGCCTAGACAGCCAGAGCCTGGCCCAACCCCTCCTCTCCCTTTGGTGCATCCCCTAGCATCAGGACCACAGTCACATCCCCAGGCAGCCCCTCCACTGCAGCCAGTGCCATGGCTTCTGAGTTGGGCTCAGGAGAGGGTGTGTGAGCCTCCCAGCTGTGTCTTCTGGGCCCATGTGTCTTCATTCCTGGGAGGAAGCTTGTGACCTAACTTCCCAAGGTTTATACAGGACCCTGCTGAGTGGAGACACATCTTTCTCCCTGTCTGTCCTCAGCTGAGCTGAGGATGGGAGGTGGACAGTCCTGTGACAATAATCACAAAGCTCCCCGACCTTTCCTCAAGCCCTAGTGCACAAGAGCAGGCCTGTGTAGACAGGACCCACACATCTAGCTCCCCCAACTGTGGGGATCTCATCCCAGGGGAAGACTCAAGACTGGGCTTCTCCAGGGGCCCTGCCCAGCAGGCACTTCAGTTACCTAGGGATGTTACATTAGGGTTTCTCGCCTGCCATTAAGAGGACACTATCCATTCCAGGTGACCCTGACGGCACTCATCCACCCAACAACTTGGTGTGAGCCCAAGGCTGGGGTACTGGAGCCTCTCGGCACCGTGGTCCTTGCCAGTTCCAATTCTATCAGAAAAGCCAGCCCTCCCCCTCCCCCGAAGTACCAATGTCTATCTATCGCAGGGTCTTGTCAGGATGAAGACACATAGTGGGGACTAGATGCGCCTGCCCTGGACAATCTAGAGGTCACAGCAGTAGGGGTGACATCGGAGTTCAGTTTGCAGGACTGTACACACAATGTACAGGTGCCGGGGACTGTAGTGGGGCAGGACAGACTACTGCAGAGAGCCTGGAGAGCTTCCTGGAAGAAGAGGTCCTAGCACAGAGCACAAAGAGATGCACAGGCTTTCCTGGCCTGAGGAGAAGGAGGTCAGGTGAGGCTCAGGTGCCCCTATCTGAGCCTATATCTCCAAAAACCCCTTCCCTCTCCCATCAGCCGTCCCATCCTCCCTGCCGCTCCCTGCAGCTCCCTGTGGCCAACAGTACTGCAGCACTCGGCTCTGCTCCACAAACGGTCTGCTCCACTCCAGGAAGGCCACCTCCTCCTCCCCCTTCCCCTCTTGCTGTCACCACTCACCGCTCTAGCCTCCAGGGGGTGGGGACCCCAGAGCTGGACACACCCCACCGTGGCCCCACAGCTCAGCCAGCCGGACAGACTCACAGTCGGACGCAGGACCCCGGAGCCCCGAGGTGGGCAGTGTGCCAGGGTCCCTCGCAGCTTCTTCAAGGTCAGTGCAAGCTGGGCGTGCAGCCCTTCTGGGGCCCTTGAGGCCTGTGGGTCCCACCCCAGAGCCCTTCTCCTAGACCAAGAGCCCCAAGGTGGGCTTCGCTCCAGGTGCACCTGTGTGGGCTCAGGGCACCCTGCGTCCACAGTTAGCACAGGTCCAGGGGTCCGTCAGGAGAGGCCCCAGGCTGGGGGCCAGCTGCCTGCTGAGGCCTCACTGGGGACACTCCCCACCGGCCATGGGGAGCTAAAATTGGAAAGTGGCGAGTGGGAGGCAGCTGACACAGCTATTTTGTGCTCTCTCTTCATCCGCTCCGGTTTCACTCTCCTGCTCCACTAACCTGATCCTATGCTTCCCTCCCCCACCCTACTGATGAAGAGGTGTCTCAGCCCTCAAGCCACAGTGCGGAGGCTGGCCAGGAGGGTCAGGGCCTGAGGCGAGCAGGGCCGGCAGTGGTCTGGTCTGAGCCAGGACTCAGGAGGGGCTCACCGAGAGCACCTGCCCTTTAGAGAAGCTGGCTGGACGGCTTCACTGGGTCCCTGCCCCTTTCTGGCCCACACCCTGTGTCTGTATAACAAGTTGTGGGCTCTCAGAGGCCCTGATTGCAGGGCCAAGGAAGATCATGGGTTGGGGAGACGGAGTGACTCTAGCCATCTCCAAAAGGGCATTACATTGTGTTCCTCTTTCACTCAGTTCCAGGTCTGAACCTGCACAAGCACTGGGCAGAAGGTCCAAGAGGGTGGGAGGGCCTTAGGGAGTGGCCCAGGCCCCAGGGATGGCCCAGCAAGGTAGCAGGAGGACTAGACTCATCCTGGGCACCCGATACTGGTCAGCACCTTGGACAGCAGCCAGCACCCTCCCAGTTCCTGCCTGACCCTGCCTGGCCTAGCTCGGGCTTCTCCAGGTTCTCAAATAGCACAGCCTCCAGCCAGCAGCCAGCAAGACTACACAGCACTTCAGGAGGGACAGTGGGTGAACACAGGCAGAGATCCGGGATAAGACAAACTACCGGTCAGGGGCTTGGTGGAGGAATGGGGTCACGCAGAGCCTGGAGCTGAGGCTGGAGGTCTGGAAGTCACAGGATCTCAGGAAGAAGGGACTTTGTGGGCAGGGCTTTGCTGGGGCTAAGGGAGGCTCACCGAGAGATGAGAAAACTGGCTGGTGGACTAGAGACAGGGTCTCCCCGCTGGGAAAGACCCCCAAGGTCGGGGAGGAGCAGTTTTGGACAAGTCCATCAGAGAGGTATGAAGGAGAGGAAGGTGGTGGGCTGTGTGAGGTCTGGACTTTGGGGAACCTTCAAAGGAAACAGAATCGGCAGCTGCAAAGGAAGGAAGGAGATGCTTGGGTGGGAAGAGTGACTGACATAAAGTCCCCCAGGGATAAGAAGGGCAGAGTCTCCTCAGAGGGCTCCACCACCCCAGAGAGTTCACGAGGTGAGGCTAGGCAAGACTGGGGGCTGGGGACCCTCACCCATGCTTTCCCTACAGTCCTGTCCAGGCCATGGGCATCAAGACAGCACTGCCTGCAGCTGAGCTCGGCCTCTACTCCCTGGTGCTGAGCGGGTCCCTGGCTTATGCTGGCCGAGGTCTCCTGGAGGCATCGCAAGGTAATAATAGTTGGGTTCTGGGACAGGGGCCTAAAAAGCCTCAGAGTTTTGACCAACAGGACCAGAAACTTGGAGGCTGCAGACCCTGAGTATTCTCTAGGCCCTGGGTTTGGACGTAGTCCTGAACACCATTTTAGGTACACACACACACACACACACACACACACACACACACACACACACACACACACAGAGTCTAGGGGATAAGAGAAGATAGAGTGTCTGACCTAGACCCAGACATGCAGAGCACGCAGTCCTGGGCCCTGAGAGCTCACATCCCTCTCGGCCACTGCTTTCTGCCCAAGAGCCCTGCAGCTCTGAGGCACTTTCCCCTCTCCTCTGGGTGGGATGACCGGGGAAGGCACACGCGAGGCCTCTACTCAGAGGTCACACTTTGTTCTCAGATGGGGCCCACAGGAAGGCCTTCCGGGAGTCTGTGCGACCTGGCTGGGAGTACCTGGGCCGGAAGATGGTAGGTTTCCCACGCCTCTCAGATACCCGGACACATCTCACCCCATGTCTTTCCCCAGTCTCTATTCTAGTTCCCATGCCTTACGGCAAGGAGGGCTCTGCCTCGAACTTCAGGACCTTCAGGCTCATTTAGGAAATGGGTCCTCTAGGACAAAACGCTCAAGTTGGCCCTCTGGTACCTGCCTTCCAGAACGAGGCAACGGGGGTAGAATGTCAGCAGTGTGCCAAGTGCAGAGGGACAAAGCTTTGAGGAGCAGGCCCTCCTTAGGTCCCCTCCTCCATTCCTTCTTCCTGTGTTCCCGGGCCCCTCCCTCAGGGTGAGGTGTCTGTCCTCAGAACCTGGGGCAGGAGCTCCTTACCCTCCCCTCCCCACTGCCCTCCTGTACCTCATTTCCTCCTGCTCGGGTTATCCAGGATGTGGCTGACTTCGAGTGGGTGATGTGGTTCACCAACTTCCGAAACATCATTGTCTTTGCCCTCTCGGGACACGTGCTGTTTGCCAAACTCTGCACAATGGTGGCCCCCCAGGTGAGCTGGGTCTGGGGTACTTAGCCTCTTCCTGCTTGCCCCTCCTTAGCCCCCCCAGAGACTGTGGGAAATTCACCCCAAGGTCCAGGGAGGTTAACTGAGGCTTGCTCGTGTCCACAGCTCCGCTCCTGGATGTATGCTGTGTACGGAGTCCTGGCTGTGGTGGGCACAATGGGCCCATGGTACCTGTTGCTACTTCTCGGCCACTGTGTGGGCCTCTATGTGGCCTCACTCTTGGGCCAGCCCTGGCTGTGCCTTGCCCTTGGTCTGGCCAGCCTGGCCTCCTTCAAGATGGACCCCCTGATCTCTTGGCAGGTACATAGGATGGAGGGGATAGGATAAGGCCCCGAGGACCTTGTCTCTTGAGTATTCCCAAGCATTTCCTCGATTTCTCCACCTGTCTTGAGTAAGGCGGCTGCTTGCACCAGTCTGACTCTTGCTCTGTTGGGTTGCTGAGCTAAAGCCGGTCTTACCTGGCAGGATCAGGCCCAGCTCTTACAGGAGGCTGGTAAGGGGCTCTCCCCAGAAGCATGGGCCCACTAGTGAGCCAGAGGCTTGCTGTCTCCTTCCAGAGTGGGTTTGTAACAGGCACCTTTGATCTTCAAGACGTTCTGTTCCACGGGGGCAGCGGCTTCACGGTGCTTCGTTGCACCAGCTTCGCGCTGGAGAGCTGTGCCCACCCTGACCGCCGCTACTCCCTTGCTGACCTGCTCAAGTACAATTTCTACCTGCCCTTCTTCTTCTTTGGGCCCATCATGACCTTCGACCGCTTCCATGCTCAGGTAAGGGAACGCCATGGACTCCCAGAGCACTCACGGCTGGGTCTCCTTTTCCTGACAAGGGCTCCTGTCTCAGACATAACTCCTCCAAGCATGAGCACCCCATCCTCAGGCCATTTGTGGCTCCTCTCTCAGACAGGGCTCTACCCCTCCAGGTGAGCCAGGAACCAGTGAGGCCAGAAGGGGAACTATGGCGCATCCAGGCCCAGGCAGGACTCAGCGCGGCAGCCATCGTGGCTGTGGACATCTTCTTCCACTTCTTCTACATCCTCACCATTCCCAGCGACCTTAAGTTTGCCAGCCGCCTCCCAGACAGTGCTCTTGGTGGGTCCCCCTATGGGATTGAGGCAGGGCCACCAGAAATACTCCCAAACGTGTAGCACCCAGGATACCAAGGCTTTGAAATGTGAAGGACTCACATTTGTTGCATCCCATAAAGCCCTTAATCTCCCAAGCTGCAGGTGCCACTTGAGGGGTGTGGCTGGTTTCAGGGTCAGTGGGGCCTGGCACACACCTCCAGGGAGGTGCAGGGTCTGTCTCTATGGGGGTAGGTGTGGGACAGAAACAAGCCTCTCTGTCCATGGAGGAGGTGAGGCTCAGGATATGGGGCGGCCAGTGCACGGATCCCCAGAGTGATGTCATCTGTCCCCAGCTGGCCTGGCCTACTCAAACCTGGTGTATGACTGGGTGAAGGCAGCGGTCCTCTTTGGTGTTGTCAACACTGTGGCACGCCTGGACCACCTGGACCCTCCTCAGCCTCCTAAGTGCATCACTGCACTCTATGTCTTCGGGGAAACGTGAGTGAAGACGCTGGCTCCCATCTCTCCTTAGCTTCGTCCCCCATGCCCCCAGGCTCTGCATCTGGCAAATTCATGCTCATATGCTCTCCCCACAGGCACTTCGACCGTGGCATCAATGACTGGCTTTGCAAGTGAGTTGGAGAATGGTACCAGCCTTCCTGATAGGTAGAGATTGGCTCTGGGCCAGAGGAAGCAGGAGGCAGTGAGGAGGCTGTGCCAGCTGCCTGGGTGGCAGACAGAGAGCTTTGGACTTTGTGGGGGCCCCAGAAATGGTGGGAGCAGAGATAAAACTGGCTGCTTAGTAGGAGGTCATGTTTAGTGGGGGTATCTAGGGAGTCCCAAATTCCTGCCTGCCACCTGGGACACAGAAATGTCTAGTTGACGTCCTTGTGGAGATTTGGGGAAGTGTTTAGGCCTGAGAGTCTGGAGTCAAGAGAAGCCTGGAGGAATGGTGGTCTTCCATCCACTGAGCATTATGAGTTGGGCAAAGGGTCTCCTGGACTAGGTCTCAGAGAGCCTGGGTCCTAAGGAGGGGAGTGAGGTGAGAAGGACAGGGGTAGCAACATTGGGCCCACAGGGACTCTGGCAGGGACTGAAGAAGATCCAGAAAAAGACTTGAAAAGACGTGGTCAGCAGGAGAGGACGTGGCTATGTGAACCCTGGAACCCACGTGGGTGCTACCACAAGCCAAGGAGGGCTAGTGCTGGCAGCGGGAGGCTTCCACCTGCAGGCAGGGAGAAGAGCCGAGGACTTGCAAGGGGAATGTGTACAGGGTCCTGGGGCAGCCTGGGCTTACATGGGAAACCAGAAGATCAGCTTCAGGGAGGAGTGGGACACGATCGGGCATTGAGGGTGCTGCAGGACAGAAGGGTGATTGATAGAAGCAGGTCCCGGAGGACAGAGGTCAGCCTTGAAAAGCAGGAGGAGGAGAGAGGTAGCAGTAGAGAGCGTGGGGAAAGAGGAGAATGGCCAGGTTAGTCACAGATGCTGAAGTAGGCAAGGGTGCCGGCTGAGAGACACAGGGTGAGGGCGTACATCACCTCTTGCAGGAGGCCAGGAGTGCAGTGTCCATTTCCAAGCAGGAAGATAAAGCTGACTGGAGAGAGCCCAGGAGGGATTGGAGGGAGAGCATTTAGAATCCATGAGGAAGGAAACCTCATGGCGCAGGGTGTGTGTGTGTGTGTGTGTGTGAGAGAGAGAGAGAGAGAGAGAGAGAGAGAGAGAGAGAGAGAGAGAGAGAGAGAGAGAGAGAGAAAGAGGTTGGAGTCTCCAGGTGGGTGAGCAGAAAGAAGCAAGAGACTGTGATGATGGTGGTGGCTGTGAGCCTGCTGGGAAGGGTGGTAGAGATTCTATAAGGCCAATGGGTGTGACTGAATGAAGTTTCACTGGGCAGAGTAGGAATTCAGAAGGGTGAGAATTCAAATTGGGGTATGATCCTGGGAGTGTATGGATAAGATAAGGTGGAGAAGCCTTGGAAATGAGGTTAGGGAGTGAAAAGCTGGTATTTGTTGTGCACCCATTGTGTGGCAGGCACTGTGTGTGGCAGGCACTTGTGTGTCCGGAACTGTGTGTGCACAAATACAGTAATGCATGAGGCAAACCCATGGATCTTACAGTCCAGTGAGGAGAATGGGGCAAGCAGGTGAAGAAACACACACACACAACACACACACACACACACACACACACACACACACACACACACACACACACGAGTCTAAAGAGTAGAAAGTGTGGGAAGGAAAATGGTCTAACAGGGTGGGCATTGGCCCACGGCTGGAAGTTTCTTTAGACTGGAGCTTGGGCAGGCCTCTGAGAGAACATGTTTGAACTCAGGCTTACACGAGGTCAGAGAAAAACAAAAGTATGGACTCTGAAGTGTGAAACAGTTGGGTCTGAAGACCCAAAGGGCCAGCCTGGCAGGCACAGCTCACGAGGGGAGGGGTGTGAAGTCAGGCAGGAGACAGACACATGGCTGCACGTGTCTTCATTCCATAAAGAGCTTCCTTTATTACTGGGAGGGCGAATCATGGACTGACGGGATCTGAGCCACAGTTTAAAACAAGATTTATTATTTTATGTATACGTGGGTGGGCCTGAATGCGTGTATGTGCACCACACACCGGTAGGTGTCTACAGAGGCCAGAAGAGGGCACTGGATCTCCTGGAACTGAAGTCACAGGCAGTTGTGAGCCGCCTGATGTGGGTGCGGGGAAGTGAACCTGGTCCTCTGGAAGAGCAGTACACACTCTCAACTGCTGAGACATTCCTCCAGCCCCATGAGCTGCACTCTTAAAGCATTTGTAGAGAATGGAGTGGGGGTAAAAGGCAAAAGCAGGACTAGGAAGCTCCTGAGCAGTAGAGGAGCCCCTGAAGAACAGCAGAGGTGACACAGTGGGTGAGGGGGGTCAAGGGTCAAGACCCAGCAGAGCTGACAGAACCTGTGGCTTGTAATGTTGGGGATGAGGGGAATCCAGAATCTTGACTACAGCCTACAGCCTGACACCTGCCAGGTGATGAGCCTTCGCTGAGTTGGGGCTGGGAGCTGGCATGAGTAGGGACAGGAGTAGGAGCCTCCGGAGAGAGACAGGAGCAGATGAGTGAAGAGACCGAGCCTTGGGTCATACACAGACCGTTCTGAAAATCTCGGGTCTGGATGAGACAGAACTAGGAATAGACAAGCCCAGCTGCAGATATGAAGGTCCGAGTCCACCCCTCCACAGTTTGGAGCTGGGCAGAGGAGGTACAGGTGATTCCCAGAGGTTGATGTACCACATGCCACTCTGCTGTGTGTCCTCTGTCTGTCCCCACAATCCTCCAGGCCCCCTCTCCCATCTTTTCTGCAGATATGTGTATGACCACATTGGTGGGGATCATTCCGCTGTGATCCCAGAGCTGGCTGCCTCCGTGGCCACGTTTGTCGTCACCACTCTGTGGCTTGGGCCTTGTGACATCGTCTACCTGTGGTCTGTCCTTAACTGCTTTGGCCTCAATTTTGAGCTCTGGGTGCAGAAGCTGGCAGAGTGCGGGCCGCTGGCACAAATCGAGGTGGGTAGGAAGGTCCAGGGCTGGGACTGGCTGGGATCAGCTAGGTCACAGGAGGTGGCGGCCCTGCTGCTTCCTGGAGTCATCCAGGCATGCTTGGTCCCTGGTCCAGAACTTTCTCCCTAAACCTCTCTTGTTCGCCAGGGCAGTTTCACTTAGTGGGAAACTGGGTCCCCTGGCTTCTGAGTGGGCAAGGCTTGGCTGCATTACTCAGCTCTTACTGTTCCCCTGGGCCTTAGTGACAATGACTGACCATGCCCCTCTCTCCTGACCTTCGTGTCGACACATTCTTGGACAGCAGGCCCGGCTATCAGAGCAGATGTCTCGGAGGGTCCGGGCCCTCTGCGGGGCTGTAAACTTCTGGGCTATCATCATGTACAATCTTGTGAGTCTCAACAGCCTTGAGTTCACAGAGCTGGTGGCCCGACGCCTCATACTTACAGGTAAGGGACAGGGCGAGAGGATACGGCACGTGCCCAATCTCACACGAGGACAGGAACCTCTGGTCTACCCAACACGCACACAACACCCTAGCACCCAAGGGACCCAGCAGGGGTTTGGGATAGGATGCAGAGTCTCCTGGATGGGAGGCTTCAGGGGGCGTGGCTCCTCCTCCAACAGGCTTCCCCCAGACCACACTGGCCATCTTGTTTGTTACCTACTGTGGTGTCCAGCTGGTAAAGGAGCGTGAGCGAACCTTGGCTTTGGAGGAAGAGCAGAGGAAGGACAAAGAGAAGCTGGAGTAGGGGTTGGGGGCAGAGGACTGGGCTCTGCTCAGCTGCGTCTGGGCCCCAGGCCCAGGCTATGGGGCCTGACCAACAGAATAAAAGACTTTTCTATCATGGTATTCTACTGGCTTCTTGTCTACTCTAAGCTGATGGTTCCAGGCTTTGGGGGAAGGGCCATTCACAGGACATGATGGGGTGTCCTGTGAGGGCAGGACCACTCACGTTGACAGCCCAACCCTGGTATAGTCAAGCTCTTAATCTTCAGCCCTCTAGACACTGGCTCTTTGTGGTGGCTAATTCTAGACCCTGGGTTAGATGCTCAGAAGGCAGTTTATTGCCCCTGAACTTCCTAAGGGAGGTCTGGGTTAACACCAGAAGGTGCCAACAACAGACACTCCCATATGATGGGCACAGACACTGAGTCCCTTAGGAGATGTAATGGGCACACACAGCCAACATGGGCAGAGCCAGAACACAGCCTGGGGTGCCTGCCTAGCTTTTCAGTCCTTGAGGAGACATGGAGAAATCCCTTCCGTCACTTTCCTGACTGAAGTAGCCTCTCTGGCTCATACTGGCCTCTCCCAGCTCCTCTCTGGATCCCACAAGGCATTTGTTGTGAGGCCACAGGACAGGAAGGAGGCTCAGTTAGGGCCTTGCACCGGTCACATCTTGGTCAGGCGAAGCACATTGAGGCGTACAGGGAGGAAAGTGGCACCGGCCGCATAGGCGATCTCCCGCAGGACCCCCTCCCACTTCTTCTCGTCCTCATTGAATCTGAGGGGAAGGGAAAGTGGGTACAAGGATGGGGGCTTTATCAACTGAGGCCAGGCAGGGACCCTGCAAGGAGGGGTAGCTGGTGCCCTAGGCCTACCTCCAAGTAGTTCTATTTCTAAACAATTTTCATGTGCTTAAAAGTGGGATCCTCGCCTGGCGGTAGTGATGCACGCTTTTAATCCCAGCACTCGGGAGACAGAGCCAGGCGGATCTCTGTGAGTTCGAGGCCAGCCTGGTCTACAGAGAGAGATTCAGGACAGGCACCAAAACTACACGGAGAAACCCTGTCTCAAAAAACAAAACAAAAAAGTGGGATCCCCACAACAGATACCATAAGAATATACCCGGCAGTGTAAAGCAGCCCCCTCCCAGGAAAAGCCATCCCAAGGTCCCCACATTCCTCAAAGTTCACTGCCCTCTGGGAAGACTTCCAGTCCCCAAATTCAAGTCTCTCCTCCTGAAGCTTCTGTACACTGAAGAAGTCCCTGAGATGATGGCCTTCTTCCCCACACCAGGAAGGGGTGTGGAAAAAAAAAACAGCTCTTGGAGCCTGGATCCAGCTACCTCCCACTCCTAAACAAAGCACCCCAGAAAAGGACAGACTCTGGGTCTGTGCCTGAAGCTTAGGATTGGCTCCTGCCTGTGACCTACTGGCGCTCCACAGCGGGGCAGGCCACGTGTCACTCTCCTCCAAGGGCTTGTGAGAAGCCAGGGTGGAACACTGTGTTTGCTGACCCTGCCTTGGGACACTCAGGATCCCCCTCAGATCCTGAGGCTGGGCTCACCTCCATATGTCATTGAGTTCCGTGGGGACCAGCTCTCCAGACTCAGTCTCCAGAGTGGCAAAGCCACCCAGGGCATAGAGAGTGCCAGCTAGGCTGACCAGGCTGAGCGAGCTGCGCTCCTGTGGGAAGGCCTCAAAAGAGGACCACCTAGGGACAGGGGGAGGAGAGTTATCCAGGGCTTCAGCAGCCGCTGTTCCCACCTTCCTAGCATCCATCACCCCGGGAAATCCGAATTCCAGGCTGCTGCCCTTCAACCGCCTAGAAGCTTGGTCATCCAGCCGTGCCCCCATTCACTCTGACCTTTACTTCCCTCCCCTTCCTGGTCCTCCTCCTCCCCTTCCCCATCACTTTGCCATTCCATTTAACCTGCATAGTGAATGGAGATATATATATATATATATATATATATCCCTATACCTGTGAACTCAGTCCCCAGTGTTGCTGGACTCAGGCCCAGGCTGTGGTTGCCTGCCACTGATGGCCCTGCTCCTTGGATGCCCTCCATCCTTCTCCTCTAAGACATCCTGGCGGTTCTCCTGGTGTCTGCTCCCTGGCTTTCTCCCGCACACCCCCAGGTACCTGAATCTACATTTCCTGAACGGATCTTCAACTTGCTGCCTATCCCCCAGGGTTCCCCCGACAACTGGCCTCTTAGACTTACTCGAAAGCATCCATTTCACCCTCTTTCCCGCCCAACACCCTCCCCACCGCTGACCTCAGTGACTGTTGGAAATGCAGCTCCTCTGCCTGCCCCATTCCTCAGAAGCCACGCTCGCTCCACTGCCTTTCCTTGGTCCTTTCCCTAACACATTCCCAGCCCGAGGAGTCTATTAGCCCTCGTCACAGCTGCAACCAGACCCCTGTCTCTGAGAAATTTCCTAATCTGCTGTCCTGTGGCAGCCGGTGAGCCATGGAGCTTAAACTCCTAGGAGACATTTCACTGGTCTTACTCTGTCACCTATCCCATCCCAGAACCCTCCCACATCCCTTCATCCACCAATCTCCATTCTCCTGAGCCTGGTTCCTCTAGGAGCCCCACCTCTTGGTTGGGTACCCACTAACTGCCATCTTTGCTGGGTGGGTCCAGATGGCTTCTCTCTCCTGAACTCCTGACTTGATGCTGCAACCTCAGAGCCAGCCCATTTCCTGGTAGCAATCCCCAAATGAGGAAACTGTCACCCCCGCCCCACCTCACCCTGGGAGCCCTTCTGTAGACTCTCCTGCAGGGAAGCCTCAGAGGAGAGGGACTAGTTCTATGCCAATGTCCCAGATCTACATGAGGACCTGGGTCTATGACCCTCAGCAGGGCAGAGAGGGCTGACTCAGGAGAGCAGCTGCAGAGGAGCGGGGGTGGGGAAAGGGACCTACTTGTTGTCTGCAATGCTGTACACCTCCGTGGAGCTGGTAAGCCCTGTGTCTGTCACCCCTGCAGCCACAAAGATGCGGCCATCATGGACCGTGGCCCCGAAGAGTGAGCGGGCTGTCTGCATGGGCGCCAGCTCCTTCCACTCAAACTTCTTGGGGTCATAGACACACATCGTGCTTAAACATTTCCTGTGGGCCGACAGGGTGAATGGGGAGAGAGAGAGAGAGGCGGTGACAACTGCCTGTCCCCTCAGCCACACAGAGGCTCCACTCCACCAGCCTGAACCTCACCTGTCCTTGCCTTTGCCGCCAATGACGTAGACCAGGTCCATGTGGGAAAGCACCGCGTGACCATATACTGCATAGGGCAGTGAGTCCGATTCACCCCACTTGAATGACCTGGAGGGACAGGAGGGACTGGAGCATGGCTACATCAAGTCTGTTTCTCGGCACCCACACTCACAACACATGTTAGAATGCATTCAGTGCATCCCTGGGCCCCCTCCCCTGCTGTCTTGGGCCTTTGCACCAGCCTACCTGCCCCTCTGCTCACGGATTTATTTTCAGGTCTCCACCCAATGGTTGTGCACCTGTGCCGGCCTCCTGGGTGCTCCAGTGATCCTAGCCCCTCCCCAGGGCCCTGCCCCACACCACCCTGTCCCCACGGCAGCCTCACCCCGCCCACTTACAGCCTGTCATAGCACAGGACTGAGTCCAGGCTGTCCTCACTGTCCTTGAGCTCCCGGCCACCGACCACGTAGATGGCGTTGAGAGCCTCCCCCAGGCCGAAGAGGCAGCGTGGTGAGGGGAGTGGCGGCATCCCCAGCCACTCAGAGTCCAAATGGTCAAACTGTGGGCAGATTGCATCCTTGGGTCAGCCACACCAACCTCCTGTACTAACCTCCTGGCCCAGCTCAGCCAAATCCCATGGAGAGGAGTTTTCCCCTCTAAGATGGGGTCCTCGCGTGGCCTTGACTCTTTGGTGACCCTCTGCTCCAGGCTTCCCACCCCTTAGAATCCACGCTTTCCACCCCACCTTCTGCATCTGACTAACCCTGTGGTTACAGGTACAAGGACCCCGAATTGTGTGAATGGACACTTGATATTATTTAATGGACCAGGGAGAACAGTGAGTGTCCTATGTACAGAGACCCAGAGAGAAGACACTTCACACCGTAGCCAGCCTGGGGGACTGTGGAGGCCTGACAAGGCTCAAGACCACAGGGTCCCACAGCCACACCACTGGGCCAGGCTTTCCCCTCACCCAGACTTACACAGCCCTTTGGAAACTGCCTTTAACTCTCCCCCCTTTAAATAAGTGGCTGCCAGTCAAAGGTCATATATCCAAAGAGAGTGCTCAAGTAGACACACGCCCCTCCCACACTCCAAGGCCGCTTCCTAGTATCCAGCACTAGTCCCTCCCTCCCAGGGCTGGCCAATCACCTGCAGAAAGTAAGCACTCATAGGGTCCTCCTTGTTGTCCTCATTGTAGAAGAGGCCACCGGCCACGAAGACCTGGTTCTCCTTGGTCACCAGGCTGACGTGGTTCTTGGGGATCTGGGTGGACAGAGATGCACAGTAGCATTCGTTGGCAGCTGGGTCGTAGGCCACTGCACCCTCCTCGCTGATCATGAAGATGAGGTCTTGCAGGAACATGCCGAAGCGTAGGGTATCGTTGAGGATCCCAGGCAGTACGCGTTCCTCATCGTCCTCAGCCTTGGTGTCTGCTGCGCCCTGGTTGGCCTCCTTGGCCTGGACGGTTTTCTCGCCCTTCTCCTTCTTCTTCTTGCGTAGTGTAGTGAGGCGGCCCTCGTGTGCATCCTTCACCATCTGCACCTTGCGCAACAGCTCGGGCTGGGCGCGCACAAGTGGATGGCGCTCCACGCGGCTCTCCAGGAAGGCGCGAGGCAGCAGGCGGCAGCGAATGCTCTCAAAGACGGTAGGCAGTGCGCGCTGACGCTCCCCCTGGGCCTCGGCATCGCCGCTGCCGGCCCAGCGCATCACCGCCTCGAACACTGCCTCCTCCTTTTCCACATTGAGGCCGTCGCTGGAGATGATGGCGATCAGTTCGTCAGCGGAGAGCCCCAGGAAGTCGCTGTCGCGCGCCACCAGCGGGAAGCGCGAGCAGATGAAGTCGCGCGCTGCCACCGCCAGGCGCGCGCAGTCTAGTAGGAGGCCGAGGCGGAAGACTGCCA